GAAACATGGAAGAAGATGTGAAGAGTTTTTGAAGGAAAAAAAGAAAAATTTAAAATTTAAAAAGTATTCAAAACTTTAAAAAAAAACCGAACAGCAAAATGAAGAAAAATTATGATCTCGTCAACAGCCCACATGATTATTACCGAAAAAAGTGATTTCTAATATTATATTAATATAGCCAAAGCAAAATATGTAAATACAATAGTATGATAACTGTTTTGATATTCTATTGTATAATCTATTGTATTGATATATTTTGCTTTAGCTACATTAATACAATATCGTAAAGCACTTTTTTTCGGTTATAAACATCTGAGCTAGTAACGAGATTATATCTTTTCCTTAATTTTTTTCCATTTATTTCTTATTTTTTGAATACTTTAAGAAAAATTTTTTATATATTTTCTTTACCCTTTTTTTCCTTTAAAAAAATCGTTACATCTCCTTCCATGCTTTCTCTACATTTTTTCAACGTAAATATATATATATATATAATATTTACATATAATACATTTAAATATTAAAATTCAGTTTTTCAAAAAAAAAAAACTATATAAGTTTAACAAAGTAAAAAAATTATTTAAAGATTTAAAAAATGCACTTCCTCCCCGCAAAAAAATATTTACAACTTTTATAGCAAAATATGTAAATGTATTTCCTGACCAAAGTGTAAATTAAATGTCCAGTTTTTTTAACATCAAACTACATTATATATTCAAAGATTTTTGTAATAAGCAGATTAAACAAATACAAATTTCAAAAATCTAAATACAATTAAAGATGTTGTATTACCACTATGAAAAGGAAACAATAAAATATATAATAGATATTTTATTCACCTTTGAAAAGTTTCAACATTCGTGTAAGCTAGCAAATTTTCCTTTATATTCTAATTTAGAGAAAAGATAGCATATTTATAGTAATGGTCATTTTTAAAAACTCAAGAGTGAGTCGAAACTTTTGACCGGTACCATATATACATAACATGACTGATGTGTACATTCACTAACTTCTAAAATTCAGAATATCTTTTATTCGAAAACACAAATAATTTTAATTTAATGTTAGTATCCATAGTTAATTATATTAACATAATAGATTAATCTATTAAAGACAAAAATTAAATCTCTTACTCTTTGTTTATTTCTTTAATTTCTGCCAAAGCAGCTTCTAATTGGCTTAAGCCTGTTTGAACACCATCCAGTTGTGTTTGCATGGCTGTTTTGAGGACTCCATCAACAGATGCCTGCAAAAGTTTTTAAAGACGTGAAGATTTTCATAGATAAAATACTTTATAGAATTTTATTCATAGCTGAATTGTGCTATGTTGGCATCATGATGAATTTCAAAAATGCCATTTGTGCCAACTATTCTGCCCACTCACCAGTTTATTATTGGATTCAATCATGGATCAAATATGGTTAATAGCAAGCTTTCAATTTTATTTTTATTATAAATTTACTTTTATGGTGAAGTTTTAGTTTCATCAAAACCATATAGTTGTTGATATTTCCAATTTAGATAAAATTTGTTATGTTTTGATATTAATTAGATAAACTGCTATGTTTTGAAACTTTGTAGTCCATCATAATTAAGAATTAATTAAATAAAGAATAAATGTGTATCATATTCACACAATAGAAATAATTAAATGACAAAGGGCCAAAAATTCATTCAAAATTTTAAAAAAATTCTCGGATTGATGTAAAAATAATAATTATGCAAAATTTATGATGTAAGAAAGAAACTTTATCATTTATTAAAAATATTTAATGTAGTACACAGGGAACAAGACTATACTAATTAATCAATAAAATTAAAACAAATTATTTACATCATCAAGAACCACAAGAAAAGCAAAAATAATGAAATCTCTTAAAAAAAACCTTTTGATGCCATGACCTGATAACTTCGAAGAAAAATTAATTGCTTGCCTTGGAAAACCTGTTAAGTTAACCACCACTGAATATTGATCATCAGTCTAAGTGGATCATAATGATTAAGTACCAAACATACAAAAACAATTAAATCCCTCTTTTAGTTGATCAAATGTGTAAACGAACCATGAAATTTTTGTTCTAGAGGTGATTAAGTAACACAGGTTTCACATACTAAATATATTAAAGTTACATGAAGTTCTTAATTTAGTTTAAAAAAAAAAAATTTGATAAGTTCTGAAAAAAGTTTTACATGCTTATACACAATTCTATGTGATAAAAAATCAAAACATATCAAAATTATAAATGGCCCTTTTTTTTTTAAATGTTTTTTCATTAACAGAAATATTGAAGTTTTGAATAGAAGTAAAAAAATCAGAACAAAAAGCTAAAAAATTATGACAAATCTGGATAAATATTTTTTATCAGGAAATTTAAGAAATGTAGAACAACAATTATCCACGTAATACATTCAATAGAAAAATGCAAAAGTTGAAAAAATTCTGTTTGCACACCCAATATACTGAATTTTTTATTAATATTATTATTAATTAACACTACAAATATGACACTATAAATAAATAATAACTATATCTATAAAAGTTTTTATTACCTTTTTTCTCATTTCACGATGCATGTATTTTTCAACTTTTTCTAATTGATCAGGTCTTTGTAACATGTTAGCAACATGTTTAGCTGCTGTTGTTGCAGCTTCTTGCTCAATTTGATTCATATCAAAAACTGAAAAATTGCAATATAAAACAATTAAAAAACTAAACTAATAATAAATAGTTAAATTCTTTGAATAAAATAGATTTTTTTTAAGCGACAGTACAAGGATATATATATATATAGTGAAAAGTCCCATATCCGGAATCGTCGGAACTTTGATGCGAAAGATTTTTACAATAGGTCTTTAAGGGAAACAAACATCAAAATATCATTATTCAATACAAAAAATAACTAATAGACTATAATTAACTTAAATTTCAATCAACAACAAATAAATCCAAGTGGTTGCGCTATTTTCACAGCTTTGTTACTGATTTTTACATGGTTTTCAAAAGCAGGATATTTTAATATGCCATTATAACATACTGCAAATTCCAAATCCCACATTTCAGTAAGTAATCATTTCTTGATTAACGACGATTCCACAGTGAATTCACATGATTTTGCTGATGTTTTTTTTTATAGTTATTAAAACAGATTTTTACTTGATTTCGAAAATCTCAATGTTTTAATACGATATTTCGAACAGCAAACTTTGAATTGCGCATTTCGCACTCACTGACGATTCACCCGCAATACCACGTTAATTTACGATTGCATTTTTGTCAGTTATTGTTACTGATCTTCACAGTTTTTTAACTCTTCATAATCGAAAACAGGAAATTTCAAATCGCGTATTTGTAGAATTACTTTTTTATGCCCTCAATTAGAATCAATTTTACTGTCCAAGCGGTTTTCTTGATCGCATTTTCAACAGTTTGGCATAGTTTTTGCTCCACATACTTTTTTTTACTTCCCACATAGTTTTTAAAATTTAGATTTCATTTTTAATATAATATTAATAAAATCACAAATTCCGAATCGTGCTTTTGATTAATCACTTAGTCATGATAACTTCAACGCAAATACGCAACTTTTTCAAATTGGGAGATTTTTGCCCACTCTGCAATTGAGTGATTTTTGACAGTAATAATCCTTTTATGCAAGGCTTGAGGAAAAAAATATCTATTCTTTTCATGCTGTAATTAACTGCCGATTTTTGCTTCCATAATACCCAATTTTTTTCATATTATTGCAGAAATCAGATTAAAATCAAACAAAAATTGGGTAAAAATCGAAGTTTTATAACAAGTCGCAAATGTAAAAAAAATAATAATAAATAAAAATTAAAAGCGAAAAGAGTAAAGAGTTTTGCTTAGTTTGATTGGTATGTACTGAACTTTGTATTGGTATATTATATATATATACAGGGCCCATACTAAACATTCGCCACCTCGCCAAATGCAATGAAATTCTAAATTTGGTGAATAAAATGGTGTATTAATGAATGATTTTTTTCCACTGGAAAGGACCATATATATTTAAATCACTCCTCAAAATTATGTCAAAATGAATTTTTCTAAACAAATCAGTATTTTTATTCGATTACAGTATTTTTCAATAGATGCGAAACATAACCAATCAGAAATGGGTCCAATTAATATAAGTCTGAAACAAACTACCATAAAATAGTTTTCTATGGGAAAGAATTAATATATGTACAAATTCAATGCTATCAATTACACTAGAAAAAAATTTTGACTTAATTAAATTTCCATTATTTTTTTCATTTTATAATTTTATAACTGGCGATGAACAGCCAACACAATTTTGAAAAAAAGAAAATATTTGCTTAGATAATATAATTGAATAGCAATTGAAGAAAACAGTAAATATGTTGTGTTTTTGGTCTTGATTCGCTTTTTTTGATTAATTGATGAGTTGTTTCTGTGTAAAAAACACAGATTCAAAATTTCTATTATCAGTAATAATGCATCTTAAAAAAGAACTTTTCAACGAAAACACTTTTTTTTTAAAAATTCAAAGTTCTTTGAGCATCTTGAGAGATAATACCTCACGATCCTAAATGCCTTTTTAAAATTGTATGACAGAAAGTGGAATAACTGAATTTTTCCACTTTTGAAGTGTTGCTACTTCTTTGTAACTATGAATCACTGTTGCTTAAAACACTGTTAGTGAGTTATCTGTGACTTTCTGAAGTGTAACTATACTCTTTGATTTATGAAATCAATTTTACGGCTTTTTCATTGGTGCAAAATAAGTAAGTTGCAAAAATTGATGAATACTACAGCTAAAGCATAATTAGTACAGCAATTATTTGTCGTATTGATATTCAAGTAGCAAATGATCAGATTTAAAATGCTTGGTGTCAGGTGCTGAAATAACAATTTTTGTTAGTTATTTCAGCATCTTACACCAGTTTTCTAAAGCAAAATGGACATACATATTTTCTATGTATTCGGAAGACAATAAAGTATGGACTTCACACTTTAAAAAGTAGAGTTAGTACTTCAAAATATTGGTTATGATGAAAAAAAGGATAAGTGTAGATAACTCTTATGCCAAAGCATAAAAGTTATCTATACGAGATTCTTTGACAGAAAATTTTTTTGCTTTGGCATAAGAGTTATTTATGCATAAAGTATAAATAACTCTTATGACAAAGCAAAAAAATTTTCTGTCAAAGAATCTTATTTACTTAATTGTGTAAATACTATATAATTTAAAAAAATAATATTTAAGAACCCTTATTACTGAATCTTGTAAAGATTGCTTAAAATAATAATTAATTACCAATTTTTCTTAAGGTGTATAATCCTTACTTGATTGATTAAAAGCATGCTTTCATGGAAAGAGATTGGCCACTGCGGGGATATTTCCGTATTGTGATCTGTCACGCCAACTACAAACGCCAAGGTGCCAAATAGATTTTAAATTTGCCAACTTAAAAAAAAAACAACATGTAAATGTCTGCCTGAGGGTGGCTACGAGTTATACCTTTCGAGTTGATTTCTTTGTGCGATTTTTTTTCCTTAGTTTTTTGAGAGCCACTGCCCGGAAGTTTCCAGAACTTGGCGATTATTCTGCTACAGATCACGATACGGAAAGCTACTGCTCATCGTACATATGAGACAAGTTGACCGATGTATGGCACATAATAGTTTGGTTAAAAAAAAAAAAAATTATGCAACTTGAACAAGAATAATCTTTAAAAAGTAGGAAATGTAGAAAATTATTTTAAATACATGCATCACAACGTTTTAATAGAACAATATTCAAAGATACATTCATTTCATATTCTAACTTTTTACTTTCTTTAAAAATAAAAATAAAATTCATGATTTGATCTTACACAGTGAGATTATTTAGAAGGCAATACAAATAATTAATAATATCATGAAGAAAAACCAAGCAGCCTACTTGAAGTTGCCATGATGAAAAAAAGATGTTTTTCGTTTGTTTAATTTTTGATTGAAAACGTATAGCTAACAATTTTATTTGATAAAAAAACTGTAGAGTAATTAAACAGACGGTAAGTCGGTAACGCCTTCAATAGAGAAAAATACTTCAAATCAAAGCTCAAGGCGGCATACTCTAAGAGTAGTATTAATACTTTTAAAATATATTATCTTATTTAAATTTCTCTTTATCATGTGAGGAAAAATTAATGAAAACCAAGGATATAAATTTTTTCTTGTAAAAGAATAACAAAACTAATACCGACAACAACAAATATCAAATCGTACTGTTTTGTTGCCGTTTACGTGCTACAAATGTCAGATAATTTTCTTTCTCTTTCAAAATTGAATGATTTGGTGAATTTCAAGGAGAATAAAATAAAATTTTTAATAAAAACAGGCATTTGCATTCATAAAAATATTAAATTTTAATAAAAAAAAAACTATTTCAATTTTTTTGGAGTTCATTTCTTAACTGTCATAAGCACTACTGTTCTTATTTATTTATAAACAAGTAGTTTCGAATTCAAAAATCATGACTGCTTGTTCGGATAGAAATTTTTTATACACAGTAATTAAAGATGCATCGGCCAGGAAACTTTTTAGTTTATTAAATTCAGTAAATATGTTAATTCATTGTTGTTTATTTTGTGAATAATTTAAACTGTAATTTAACTGTTAAACAAATTATGTTCTCCATATCGTTTAAGAAAGTAATAATCTTATTCTTGGAAGTTTCAGAAGATCTAAAATTTATTGTTTCACTTATGCCTCTAAAAAATAAAATTTAAAATAAACCGGAAACAATGTAACTTTCGTTATTTTCTTTGTGCTCTCTATTTAGTTTCACATTAACAATATGTCATGTTTAAAACATTAAGTAGCTCTATATGGTAGTATATGATTACATTTTCTATATGGTAGTATATAATTATATTTCCTTCATTAAAACTGTAATTGTTATAAAAATTAGCAATCTTTTATCAAAAAGTTTTAGTCATAATATTTTTTTTTAATTAAATAATCCTTTGAAATAAACTTTATAATCAACTAATTTACTAAATTTGAATTTTCAGATTTCTGGATCAAAGGATTTGGTACTGGATAGCCAGCTTATTTGTTCTCTTGACTATATAGCAAATTTTAGTCAGTTGAAGGTAAGATTATTTTGCTTAGTATGAATTCATATTATATATATTACTAAGCTCTTGGGTCTTTTTAAAAATTAAAATGTTCAAAAATGAAAACATAAGTGCTGCTATTATTTTAAGTAAAAAAACACGTAATATAGTTTTTAATAAAAATCAAAACATTCTGCAACAACCCATTGTTATCCAAAATTATCATGAAGACTAAGGCTTCACAATTTTTGACCATAAGCATGATTGTGACAATATTGTCAGAATTGCACTCAAGCCGACTTTAATTTCTTAACCAGCTGTTGCCTATTGATCTAAAACTAGGATCTAAAACCAGAGGATCAAAGTTTAGTCTTTCACAATGACAGCTCAGTACCTTAAGCACTGAGCCATCGTGGTTTTTGTATAGTATTTTGTCAAAATGAATTCTCTCTTCTTTAAATATTTTGTATTTTTAATTATTAGTTTCTTCTTGTGTATTTTTTTAAGTATTCAAGAGGACTAGGTCTGTATTTTATTTGATTGTACAAACCAGAAGAAATTATTCATGCAGTGGGCATTTAACTAGTGTTTGCTTATCATAAACTTTATTTTATTTATTTTAATGCATATATTCCAATTCTGGTCATTCATGCAGTCTTTTGTTAATTAATTTAATATTTTATTAATATGTTTAGTTTAATTCTAAAATGATTATCAAAGTCTTTACATATTTTAAATTTGAATTACATTAATTTTTTCCCCTCTCTTTTAGAGTTGTAATGTTCAAAAAGTTTTCAAATTAGAATCTGGTGCTACTCCTGGAGCTACTGAAAAGTATATATCCTTTATTTTATTTCTTTCATTTGTATTTTATTTGTTGCTTTTATATATTATATATATTGAGTTATTTAAAATAACATTGTAGTATTGATTGTATAAATTTAGACACATTCATGTTATACATTATTTAAAGGTTAGCACCTCTGATGTAAAATATTAAATAAGAATTTTATATTATCATTTACTGCATTTTACTCTATATGTAGAACATTAGGAATAACTTAATAATTTAATTTTACCAGAAGGAATAGTAACAAATTATTTAATTATATGTAAAATATTTTTCATTTTAGATAAATGTTCACATTGTTTCATTTATTTTACTTCTGAAATAATTTTAAATGTAACCTTAAATTTCATTTTCTCATTTGAATTTAAAAAATGGTTACTTGATTCTTATATACAAACATTTAATAAGAAATTTGGATCTATTATTAGTATATAAAACAATGTAGTTTCAAAAACAATTCTTAAACCTTTTTAAATGTTGTTTTAAGTTCAATAAAGATTTTTTAAAAAATCATAATTTTATAGTCATTGTTATTTTAAAAAGGAAATTCTATTTTGTATTATTTAATATATTCTTGGTCTGTTATTATTATTCAATAAAGCTTAAATTTATTTTTATAAGTGGCTATGTAGAAAAAAAATAACTTTTTACTAATATAAATATTAAAACTGGCCATATTAATGCAAACAATTGTTTAAAATGCTTTTGACTTTTTTTTTAGTGTTCAGTTGAGCTTAAACATTCTTTTTCAGGTGTGTGTATGTAATCAGACCTTCTATACAAAATGCAAAGATCATAGCTGATCATATTAATGCAAGTAAATCAATTGAAAGCAATAAAAAATTTTGGGTAATACATGTACCAAGAAAGGTAAAAACATTTTTTGATTTTAATTTTTCTATGAATTAAAATTGTTATGAAATTAACTTGATCTATAGATTTAATGTAAAATGAAGCAGAAATATAGCAAATGGCTTATGACTACCTAATATATTTACTATTATAGTCTTTTCCTGACTTGGAACAGATTATAGTTATTTAATGTTGGCTTATTAAAATATGTAATTTTAGTAATATTTATCAGAATTTTATTTTTCTAAATGATCTGATTTTTTTTTTCTGTTCTATTACATAAATGCCAACTTATATGTTTGTTTGTTTTTATATCTTAATAAATTTGATTAAAAATTTTTTACAATGGCAAGTAAATAATTAAAGCAGGTATTTGAAAGATTTGATAATTATGTGACAATGCTTTAGTGTGCTTCGGCAAGGATTTTACAAAGCTCTGCTTTTAAAAAAAATTTCATTGTTTTGCTACCAATCTGAAATACATTATGCAAAACTAAGGTATTAGTTTTTTTAAATTAGGTTTAAAAAATCTATAAAATCTACTCAAATTATTTAAAATTCAGAAACTTTTATAACTTTATCAATTGATTCAATATTTGAAATTAGCTTTTCTTTTAACATACTTTTTTTTTAAAGTATTTTAGGTTGAAGTCGAGAAATGTTTTTCAAATTTAATGAATACTGTTGAGTAAGAAAAATAATAAAAATAACCTTTCAGATCATAGCCAAATATTAATCATCCCTCTAATCATGGCTCTTATTAAAATATGTAATGCAACACTATCTTCTCTTTTACTTTTACCTAATTATATTAGCAACATATTTAAAACATTTATAAATTTTCAGATATATATATATATAAAAGAGTGCATTATGCATCTGTTCATAGTGTAAATATATGCTGCAATTCTAAAGCTCCACTGTTGCAAACCAAATTTATTATTGGTCTAGAGTCCTATTTCTATATTGTTGATAAATAAACATGCATTTTTTCTTCTTTAAATCAAAAATTACAATAAATATCCTGAATTATGATGTTTTTGTAACATGTGCCCTGAATATATAGTGTAGTAACTACAATTTTTTTTACATTCTTTTGCAGAATTTTCGCAGTGAACTTGTTTTAGAAAGAGAAGGTGTTTATGGTTATATAACACAAATAGAACTGCCAATTTGCTTTTTTGCTCTTGACAAAGACTTATTTTCATTGGAATTACCAGACTTTTTCAATGCTTTTTACTTGGTAAAAAACAAAGCAATTTATATTTTATGTTGGTATTGATTAATGTATCAGTAATATTTACTTTTATATATCTACTTTTAGACTCTTGATATCTACAGTGTAGCCTTGATAAATTTACAACAAAAAATATTTCAATACTTAAAAATTATTTTGAAATTATTTTTATTTGTTTATTTTTTATTAAAAAGTATAAATGGATAGCAATCATGCAATTTGATAGCGCTTTGATTTGAACAATTTTTTATTACTTATATTAGTTATAAAGTTTTAGATTTAAAAGAAGAAATCATTACTATAGCTGCTTTTTACTCTTAAGTAATATTTCAATACTTATACATGTGTTTTGTGTTTAAAAGCTACCAAAAACATTTGTAAAACTAAATTAAAAGAAAAACTGCTCCTCAGGCTCCTTTAAGTTTACTTAATTCTGTTCTTATTCTGTATTTCAAATTAAATAAAGTTTATGTTTTTAAATTACTGAGATTCACCTATTTATTTATTAAGGTTTAATGAAAGTTAATTAATTTTTGTCTGAAAATGATTATGTATGTATTTTAACTGATTATGTATTTTTTGGGGGAGGGGGAGAGTTATTTTCCCCTTTATTGTTTTTTTTTTTGCTTTTTAAAAATTTTATAATCTATTCTTTTTATCATGTTAAACGTTACATTTTATTTAATATCGAAGTTTTATTTTGGTTGCAATGTTATTCACCTAATTGTAACTAAACTTTTTTTTTCTAGAAAGGTGATCTTTCTTACATACATACAGCTGCAACTGCTCTTGTACAGTTATGTAAAATTTGTGGACCCATTCCTAAAATATTTGGACAAGGAAGATGTGCAGAGGTAAAGAACTTTATAGCAGTTGACTGCTAGAAATTAAGATGAAAAAATTAATGTTAAAATATTGATTGCCTTGCACAGTTATGTAAAATTTGTGGATCCATTCCTAAAATATTTGGACAAGAAANATTTTGACTATTTCTTTTTTATTATTTTTTGTACTTATTTGCTTGTCATAAACTTTATTTTTTTGATTTTAGTACATATATTCTAATTCTGGTCATTCATACAGCATTTTGTTAATTAACTTAATATTTTATTAATATGTTTAGTTTAATTCTAAAATGATTATCAAAGTCTTTGCATATTTTAAATTTGAATTACATTCATTTTTTCCCCTCTTTTTTAGAGTTGTAATGTTCAAAAAGTTTTCAAATTAGAATCTGGTGCTACTCCTGGAGCTACTGAAAAGTATATATCCCTTATTTTATTTATCTCATTTGTATTTTATTTGTTGCTTTTATAAGAGGTATATAAAATAACATTGTAATGCTGATTGTATAAATTTAGACACATTCGTAATATAAATTATTCATCTAAAGGTTAGCACCTCTGATGCAAAATGTAAATAAGAATTTTATATTATCATTTATATATACTACATTTAACTTTATATGTAGAACATTAGGTATAACTTAATAATTTAATTTTACCAGAAGGTTTAGTGACAATTTGTTTAATTATATGTAAAATACTAAATATATTTTTCATTTTAAATAAAAGTTCATATAGTTTCATTTATTTTACTTTCAAAATATTTTTAAATGTAACCTTAAATTTTACTTTCTCATTTGAATTTAAAAAATTGTTACTTGATTCTTATATGCAAAAATGTAATAAAAATTTTTTATATGTTATTAGTATATAAAACAATGGAGTTTCGAAAACAATTCTTAAACCTTTTTAAATGTTGTTTTAAGTTCAATAAAGATTTTTTTAAAAAAATATCACAAATTTATAGACATTGTTAAATAAAAAGGAAATTGTTTTTGTATTATTTAATATATTCTTGGTCCGTTATTATTATTCAATAAAGCTTAAATTTATTTTTATATGTGGCTATGTTGAAAGAAAATAATAACTTTTTACTAATATAAATATTAAAACTGACCATATTAATGTAAACAATTGTTTAAAATGCTTTTGACTTTTTTTAATATTCAGTTGAGCTTAAACATTCTTTTTCAGGTGTGTGTATGTAATCAGACCTTCTATACAAAATGCAAAGATCATAGCTGATCATATTAATGCAAGTAAATCAATTGAAAGCAATAAAAAATTTTGGGTTATACATGTACCAAGAAAGGTAAAAACATTCTTTGATTTTAATTTTTCTATGAATTGAAATTGTAATGAAATTAACTTGATCTATAGATTTAATGTAAAATGAAGCAGAAATATAGCAAATAGCTTGTGACTACCTAATATATTTGCTATTATAGTCTTTTCCCATTTTGGAACAGATTATAGTTATTTATTGTTAGCTTATTAAAATATGTAATTTTAGTAATATTTACAGAATTTTATTTTTCTACATGATCCGATTTTTTTTTTTTTTTTTTTTTTTTTTTGTTCTATTACATAAATGCCAACTTATATATATATATTTTTTCTTTTTTTTAAATTTAATAAATTTGATTAAAAAATATTTACAATGGCAAGTAAATAGTTAAACCAGGTATTTGAAAGATTTGAAAATTATGTGACAATGCTTTTGTGTGCTTTAGTGCATGGATTTTACAAAGCTCTGCTTTTAAAAAAATTTTCATTGTTATGCTACCACTGTGAAATATCCTATGCAAAACTAGGGTACTGTTTTTTTTTTTTTTTTAATTAGGTTTAGAAAATCTATAAAATCTACTCAAATTATTTAAAATTCACAAACTTTTATAACCTTATCAATTGATTCAATATTTGAAATTAGCTTTTCTGATAATATACTTTTTTTTTAAAAGTATTTTAGGTTGAAGTCGAGAAATGTTTTTCAAATTTAATGAATGCTGTTGAGTAAGAAAAATAATAGAAATACCATTTCAGATCATAGCCAAATATTAATCATCCCTCTAATTATGCAACTTAATATGTACTGCACCACTATCTTCTCTTTTACTTTTACCTAATTATATTAACAACATATGTAAAACCTTTATAAATTTTTATATATATATATATATACATACATATAACATAAAAAGCTTCAATTGATCTTTTTTATGTTATCCTAATTAATTATTCTAATCGAAATACTTTCTCACACTTTTAAAAGCCACATCCTGTTCTTAAATCTATTTTTGGCTCAAGCATGCATTTAATTAAAAGCAGGATATTTTTTCTTTTGTTCTCTGTGGGAAACTCTCGACCCATTTGATAAACCAATTACAATTTCTAAGATTTCCCTCTTTCCCTAAATTGAAACATTTTACGGATTTTACTTTGCAAGATTTTCCCTAACATATAACCGAGGAGCGCAACTTTTCATGTACACTTTTACACTCTCATGGCTGCTCTGTGTAATAATTAATAAATAAATTTTGTACCCTCCTTCCCAGCCTAAGCCCTCTTTTAATCCTTCCACTCGGCAACGACGTTATATATATATATGTTTATATAAACAAGTGCATTAAGCATCTGTTCATAGTGTAAATATGTACTACAATTTTAAAGCTCCACTGTAGCAAACCAAATTTATTATTATTCTAGAGTTCTATTTCTATATTGTTGGTAAATAAGCATTCATTTTTATAAATATTCTGAGTTATGATGTTTTTGTAACATGTGCCCTAAATATATAATGTAACTATAAATCTTTTTTTAAATCTTTTTTTTTTACATTCTTTTGCAGAATTTTCGCAGTGAACTTGTTTTAGAAAGGGAAGGTGTTTATGGTTATATAACACAAATTGAACTGCCAATTTGCTTTTTTGCTCTTGACAAAGACTTATTTTCATTGGAATTACCAGACTTTTTCAATGCTTTTTACTTGGTAAAAAACAAAGCAATTTATATTTTATGTTGGTATTGATTAATGTATCAGTAATATTTACTTTTATATATCTACTTTTAGACTCTTGATATCTACAGTGTAGCCTTGATAAATTTACAACAAAAAATATTTCAATACTTAAAAATTATTTTGAAATTATTTTTATTTGTTTATTTTTTATTAAAAAGTATAAATGGATAGCAATCATGCAATTTGATAGCGCTTTGATTTGAACAATTTTTTATTACTTATATTAGTTATAAAGTTTTAGATTTAAAAGAAGAAATCATTACTATAGCTGCTTTTTACTCTTAAGTAATATTTCAATACTTATACATGTGTTTTGTGTTTAAAAGCTACCAAAAACATTTGTAAAACTAAATTAAAAGAAAAACTGCTCCTCAGGCTCCTTTAAGTTTACTTAATTCTGTTCTTATTCTGTATTTCAAATTAAATAAAGTTTATGTTTTTAAATTACTGAGATTCACCTATTTATTTATTAAGGTTTAATGAAAGTTAATTAATTTTTGTCTGAAAATGATTATGTATGTATTTTAACTGATTATGTTTTTTTTTAAGGTTTTTTTTCCCCTTCATTGTTTTTTCTGCTTTTTAAATATTTTGTAATCTATACCTTTTATAGTGTTAAACGTTACATTTTATTTAATATATAAGTTTTATTTTGGTTGTAATGTTATTCGCTTAATTGTAACTAAACTTTTTATTTCTAGAAAGGTGATCTTTCTTACATACATACAGCTGCAACTGCTCTTGTACAGTTATGTAAAATTTGTGGACCCATTCCTAAAATATTTGGACAAGGAAGATGTGCAGAGGTAAAGAACTTTATAGCAGTTGACTGCTAGAAATTAAGATGAAAAAATTAATGTTAAAATATTGATTGCCTTGCACAGTTATGTAAAATTTGTGGATCCATTCCTAAAATATTTGGACAAGAAAGATGTGCAGAGGCTAAGAACTTTATGGCAGTTCACTGCTGGAAATTAAAATAAAAAGCACTAATGTTTAAATATTGATTTCTAGTGATTCTGCCTGACTTAGTAGACTATGGATCTTAGGTCCTAAGACTTTTAAATTTCTTTGTCTCTTTTTACTGAAAGTGGGGACCTATTTAAGATATCTTTATCCATTTCTTAATTTGAGCATTTTGAAGTATTTTATTTCAAATATTATAATAGAATGCATTTATTTGTCTAATACAATTATCCATATATATTATTGTCCATTATAGTTGAATACTTACTATAATATTGAAATATTTTATTCTATTTATTGACAGTCAAAACAAGAAAAGTTATGTTTCAACACTAAATACTTTTAATTAGGACTGGTTGCAGCAAGAAAAAGTAATGAATTGATACTCAACAACAATTTAATACTTAGAATTATTCAAATTTCCTCCTTCAACTATTAATAAAGAAGAAAATGAATTTTTTATGTATATTAAAAGTTTAGTTACAATTTTGTCACATAAATCTGCCGGAATACTATTTTTTATTAATTTTGGATAAATATGCATTCCAGGACTGGCGTCATAACTCTTTTTATGTCTCTTCTAAAATGTTCGTCGTGCTTGACGCCCTATAACTCATAAGCAGAATCCCTAGCTGTGTAACATGTAAAAAATATGGCTTAATTTGTTAAAGACTTCTCTCAGCACTTAAAATCCAAGCTTTAGTAATATTTACAATTAATTATAATTTATGAAGTTCAACAGTTGAAGCAATTGATGATCTTCAATATATTTGCTTTACAAAAGTTTCTAAATGTTTTTGCATGTGCATTTAAGAAAATCTTATAGAAATTCTAAAAACTTGTACTTAGTATATCGATAATGATTTCAAATTTGAAAATATTAATAAAATTTCATTTATAGTTTATATAAATTTATTATATTGCTGTATATTGCAAATAAATTATTTTAATATTATATTTAAATCATAAATAGTCATTGAATTGTTTTATTACAGATGGTTGTTGATCTAATGAAACAAATTTCAGAAGAAACTGTCAATGATTCACAACAAACTGACAGGATATCCCACCTAATTATTCTTGACAGAGGTATGTAGCATCAGTGCTATTAATTTGTATTTGACTCTTTTATGAGCTCAATAATTATTACTTTTTCTGTACATACATATTTTATATGTAATCACTGCTTTTAATGTCTTTTTTTAAAAAAATTCCTATCAAAAACTAAGTAAAAAATATACAAACCTTTAGAATTATGAATCAATATTGAAAATAGGGAAAGAAAGTAAAATGTTCACAAAATTTGTCGAGTCAGGATAGATGGCAAGATTAAAATCATTAAAACCCATTTAAATTCCAAAAGGAAGTTAGCGAAAGTCGAAAATAATTATTAAAAACACTTTATAGTTTTCTTCAGCAATCAAACTGGTTTTAATGTTTTTAATCAGGTTTCTGTCATTGCAGTGGCTCATTAGATTTTTTTTTTAAATTTCTTCACTTAAATATTGATTTGGAATCTTTTGTGTGTTTTTAGACTTCATTTTGAAAAAATATTGTAAACATATCTATTTAGAACAATTTTTAAGAAGTAACTTTTATATATATATATGTGTGTAATTTTCAGATTTTAAATTAAGGAAAACACCTTTTTAAGTTTTTAACTGTATTCAAAAAAATAAAAACTATTTAGTTGCCGTTAAATGTGCTATGAGTGAGGTTTGTTCCAATTACAACTAGTTTTTATTTTTTCATCTCAGTTTATCTTTCCAAATTACTTGCAATTTATTATTACTAATAATTGTATTTAAAAAATTTGAAAAAATAATGTAATTTGGAAAAAATTGTTCTTAAATTTGAAAAAAGCAAAATAAAAATTAGTTTGTAAAAAAGTTAAAATGTTCTTTAAGTTATTGAAATCAATAGGGAAATAAAATGAAATAAATTTTTCCTCTATGTTTAAAAAAGTATGAAATATAGTTGTTTAGATATTCAATTCTTTATTAAAAGTCTTAATATGTGGAACACTTTAAGCCTGTTGTTGAAATATTATTTTTTTCCTTTGAATATATTAACAGTTGCTCTTTTTATCTATATTACAGATATAGACTTTGTTTCTGTACTTCTTTCTCAACTCACCTATGAAGGAATGTTAGATGAAGCATTTGGAATAAACAGCAGTGAGTTTTCTGGCTTAAAAATTTATAATTATGCAATTTATCTTTAATGTTATATTTTAATATGTTAAAATTAAATTTACACAAATTAAAGGGCTGTGCAAACTGTTGTATGAATCATAATAGCAAGATTTATTTTATTTCATCACATTATTTATTATCTACCAAATCAAGATAACATTTATTTAAAACATCAACAAGGTTTATATCATTTCTAATTCCTGTAATTAATGGGTTATTTTACACCTTCAAATCAAATATTCAGACTAAAAAGTAACTATGAAATGTTCAAAAAAAATTTTACTGCTTCTTTTATTTTTTTTCTTTATCTCGTTGCGCTGTTTTTTTTTTTTTTTTTTTTTTTTTTTTTTTTTTTTTTTTTTTTTTTTTTNAGTTTGTACAAAAAGGCAATGTTTTGTTTTTTTTTTTTGTCTTTTTTATTATTAATGCTTGTGTTAGCTAAATATTTTTAGGACTCTTTCAATAAGACACGAAAACTATCCCCCACTGATTTACTTAAAAAGTTACTAATAATATTTTTGTTAATATTTCATTGATTTTATTATTGACAATGCTTCTGGGCTATTTCTACAGCAACTTCTTTCTTTTAAAAAAATAGCAATGGGTTTTTGAAAGAAAACAAGTAGCTTAAACTAAAAACTTCCTATTTCTTTCCTGGTGCTTTTTTAGCACCATACAACAAACCTTATTTATATACACAGTTAAAAATATGATTGGTCTGAAGCTTAAAATTAAGATTTCATATTCATCTATTTTAGTTAAGCTGCTGTGAAATTACAGATGAAAAAACTAGAAGTTATTCAAAACTATAAAAGGTTTTGTGTTAGAGAAAAATTCACTATAATGAATTTCACTGTAAGAGCATTGAAGTTTTCAATTACATTTAAAGACAAAGAATTCTGTTAATTACTAAATTATTATTTTTTTTTCTGATATAGCATATTCTACCCATATTAACTCATAGATATTAAGTTAACTCAGAGAGTTTTTGTGGCAATATTATTTTAACTTATGGGGGAGAGGGAGACCTAGTGTGGACATTTTTTACAAATTTTTCAAAAAATCGTATTAAATATAATTTTTAACTCATGAAGTAATTTTTTGACGTTCATTTGGATGCTTAACTGCATTCAGACTTATATCTGGACTTAAAATGCTGCTTAGCTTTTTCATAATATTTTTTTTTACGAGAAAGGTTGTTTTTGTCCTCATTACATGGGGCTAATGTGGACAATCTTGATAACATGTTAAGTAGTCATTACTCAGAAAGGTATTTCTGTAGCCAAAATGAAATTAATTTCAATCTAAGTCTTATTGGAGGATAAATATTGGCGTATATTATTTAAAATATTAATTTGTAATGGACCCTTTTACTATATTAAAGGACATTTTGAATTCAAATCAATACATTTAGAAACCATTATTTAATTGCTAAATATTTTGAATTTTTTTCATTTTATCAGCAAAAATTTAAATGTTAATTTTAAATGTGTATTGAGATACAGTCCTGGCACAGTGATGGATGTTTAGTAACTATTTCTTCGCTTGAGATTTGACAAATGTTTTTTTTTCCTGAAAAAATGAAAGATTCATGATTAAAGAACTATATCTTTTTCTTAAGAATTGAGCATCGTAATCTCTAAATCTGTAAACGACTTCCACTCTACCAATACCACAACAATGCTTTTTTTTAATTTATTTTTTTACTTTTTAAAAAAAAAATTAACTAACACAAAGTCACTAACTGTTATTGAATCAGTGTTATCCAGAAGTTTCAATTTATTTATGTTAACATGGCGTCGTTGAAAGGAAAAATAAAAACAAAATTTGTTAACTTACAAATGAAAAAAATCCACTTCAAGCATGTCCACATTAACCCATATTGCATGTGTCTACACTAACCCAAAGAAAACATATGTTTATTTTTGCCTAATGTTGATTGATTGAAACTATAAAGAGCAAAAGTTAATATTAAAATAAGTAAAAAACAGTATCATTTTTAACATAATATCACCTTCAGTTCAAATTCAGAAAATAAAAAGAGTTAATAAAAGAGTAAAGAGAAAATTTGAAACATTTTTTTACAAATTACCGTAAAAACCTTTTTTACAAATTTCTACTAAAGTATTTACTGTGTGATTGCGCAACTGGACATAGAAGTGTATACCAGTGTTGTCGATTTGCAATATCTCACAGAGGAGATTTCACCAATAAATGGAAAAGTTGTTCAAGATGTCCACTTTAGCTACATGTTCACAATATCCCCCTTTCCCCTATTTAAAGCAAATATGGTTAAACTTCTAATAATTTTGTATAATTGGTACTCATTTATGTTGTTTTAAATGTAAAACAAAATAATAATAGTGACTTTAGAAAGAACATACTTTCAAATGCTTTGAGTAGAACAGCAGTTTACTTTTATTAAAGAAATAATAATCTGTATTTTTCAGCAGCATTACTTCAGTGCTGACAATAAAATCATCTTTAATTTTATAGCATAATTTAAATCTGCTATGAATTAGCATTAAATTGAATTAACAAAATATTGAATTAAATATTAAAATAGAGTACATTATTTTTCTGAATAATTGGAAGTAATTATATTAAAAGCATTTAAGCTTTTAATATAAATAGTTATATTTTAGTTTTTGTATCAAAGTAGAAAATTCTTACATTTTCTATGTAATACAGTTTTTAGTACTATTTTTTTACTTATTTTGCAATCTTGTTATATTTTTAACAAAATTATGTTTGCAAGCATTTAAATTTATAGGCCGCATCATATTCCCTAAAGAAGTCACAGGTAAAGATGATGCTATAAAAGTGGTGCTTAATAGTAATGATTTGGTAATTATAATTTTATATTTTCTTTAGTCGCCATGATCATTATTACTTATAATGATTTTTACTATGTTTTCTTTAACTCAATTTATATTATCATTTACAACTATATGATTTACAACTATATGATTTAAAAAATAATTATGGTGAGAAGTTTTGAAGAAGTCATTTATGAATTAAAATATAACAGAGGGAATATAAAAATTAACTTTCAGCATTTTAAACAAAGTACCTTCTCTATTTACACTTGCATGATTCTATATTCTGTTCTTATGAACATTCTTTATTTACACTAGCATGATTAGAATAAAAAATTCAAAATAAAAAATAATATTTTTAAAAACCACGTTTTTGTAGTGGAGAGTAATAATTAAAAAAAAATTTGAAAAACGAAGAACGTGAGGCGCATGAAATACATAACAGTAATGTTATATTAGTGTGTGTATGCGTGCTCATGATAATTGTATCTGAATGTGGATGTGGAATATGTTTGCGTATATGCATATGTATGTGGCAGAGTTGGCCGTTGATTACAGTAATCGATTACAACTGTAATTAATTACAGATAATTACAGCTATGTAATCAATTACTTGTAATCACGATTACAAGTAATCAATTACTTGTAATCGTGATTACAACTTTCAAAAAATTTTGATTACAGCTGTAATCATGATTACAATTTTGATTACAGTAATCAATTACTTGTAATCANGAACAATTTTTAAGAAGTAACTTTTATATATATATATGTGTGTAATTTTCAGATTTTAAATTAAGGAAAACACCTTTTTAAGTTTTTAACTGTATTCAAAAAAATAAAAACTATTTAGTTGCCGTTAAATGTGCTATGAGTGAGGTTTGTTCCAATTACAACTAGTTTTTATTTTTTCATCTCAGTTTATCTTTCCAAATTACTTGCAATTTATTATTACTAATAATTGTATTTAAAAAATTTGAAAAAATAATGTAATTTGGAAAAAATTGTTCTTAAATTTGAAAAAAGCAAAATAAAAATTAGTTTGTAAAAAAGTTAAAATGTTCTTTAAGTTATTGAAATCAATAGGGAAATAAAATGAAATAAATTTTTCCTCTATGTTTAAAAAAGTATGAAATATAGTTGTTTAGATATTCAATTCTTTATTAAAAGTCTTAATATGTGGAACACTTTAAGCCTGTTGTTGAAATATTATTTTTTTCCTTTGAATATATTAACAGTTGCTCTTTTTATCTATATTACAGATATAGACTTTGTTTCTGTACTTCTTTCTCAACTTACCTATGAAGGAATGTTAGATGAAGCATTTGGAATAAACAGCAGTGAGTTTTTTGGCTTAAAAATTTATAATTATACAAAATACCTTTATTGTTATATTTTAATGTATTAAAACTAAATTTACACAAATTAGAGGGCTGTGCAAACTGTTGTATAGATTATAATTGCAAGAACATCAAATAACAGGCACTTCAGATTTGAGATTCATTATAGTGAAAAAAAATCAAATTATTTATTTTATTTCATCACATTTATTATCTACCGAATCAAGATAACTTTTATTTAAAACATCAGCAAGGTTTACATCATTTCCAATTCCTATAATGGGTTATTGTTCACCTTTGAATCAAATATCCAGTCTAAAAACTAATTTTGAGATGTTCAAAAAAATTTGACTATTTCTTTTAATTTTTTTCTTTATCTCGTTGTGCTGTTTTTTTATTAATGATTGTGCTTGTGTTAGCTAAATATTTTTAGGACTCGTTCAATAAGTCACAGAAACTATCACCCACTGATTTACTTAAAAAGTTACTAATAATATTTTTGTTAATGTATATCATTGATTTTATTATTGACAATGCTTCTGTGCTATTTCTACAGCAACTTCTTTTTTTTAACAAAATAGCAATAGGTTTTTGAAAGAAAACAAGTAGCTTAAACTGAAAACTTTCTATTTCTTTTCTGCTGCTTTTTTAGCACCATGCAACAAACCTTATTTACATACAAAATAGTTAAAAATATGTTTGGTCTCAAGCTTAAAATTAATTTTTCATATTCATCTATTTTAGCACCGCTGCTATGAAATTACAGATTAAAAAAATAGAAGTTATTCAAAACTATGAAAGGTTTTGTGTTAGAGAAAAATTCACTTTATTGAATTTCACTGTAGGAGCATTGGAGTTTTCAATTACATTTAAAGACAAAGAGTTCTGTTAATTACTAAATATTTTTTTTTCTGAAATAGCATATTCTAACCAAGTTAACTCATAGATATTAAGATAACTTAGGGTGTTTTTGTAGCAATGTTGTTTTTACTTATGGGGGAGAAGGGACCTAGTGTGAGCATTTTTTACAAATTGATCAAAAAGTCGTATTAAATATAATTTTTAACTCATGAAGTAGTTTTTTAACGATTATTTGGACGTTTAACTGCATTCAGATTTATATCTTGACTTAGAACGCTTAGCTTTTTCATAATATTTTTTTTTAAGAAAAAGGTTGTTTTTGTCCTCACTACATGGGACTAGTGTGGACAATCTTGATAACATGTTAAGTAGTCATTTATTATAACTCAGAAAGGTATTTCTGTAGCCAAAATGAAATTAATTTCAATCTAAGCCTTATTAGAGGATAAATATTGCATATATTATTTAAAATATTAATTTGTAATGGACCATTTTGCTCTATTAAAAGACATTTTGAATGCAAATCAATACATTAAAAAACCATCATTCAATTTGGTTCAATTGCTAAATATTTTGAATTTTTTTCTTTTTATCAACAAAAATTTAAATATCAATTTTAAATGTGTATTGAGATCCTGTGTCCTGGCACAGTGAAAGAAGTTTAGGAACTGTTTCTTCACTTGAAATTTGAGAAATGCTTTTTTCCCTGGAAAAATGAAAGATTCATGATTAGAAGAACTATATCTATCTGTCTCTTAAGAATTGAACATCATAATCTCTAAATCTATAAACAACTTCCACTCTACCAATACCACAACACTGCTTTTTATTTACTTTTTTTAACTAGCACAAAATCATTAACTGTTACTGAAGCAGTGTTATCAAAAAGTTTCATTTTATTTATATCAAAATGATGTCATTTAAAGGAAAAATAAAAACAAAAGTTGTTAACTTACAAATGAGAAAACCCACTTCAAGCATACCCACACTAGCTCATATTGCATGTGTCTACACTAACTCAAAGAAAACATACATTATTTTTGCCTAATGCTGATTAATTGAAACTATAAAATGCAAAAGTTAATATTAGAATAGGTTAAAAAAAACAGTATCATTTTAAACATAATATCACCTTCAGTTCAAATTCAGAAAATAAAAAGTATTAATAATAGTGTAAAGAGAAAATTTGAAACGTTTTTTACTAATTCCCTTTGAAACCTTTTTAACAAATTTCTACTAAAGTATTTACTGTGTGATTACACAACTGGACATGGAAATGTACACCAGTGTTGTCAATTTACAATATCTCACAGAGGAGATTTCACCAATAAATAGAAAAGTTATTCTAGATGTCCACTTTAGCTATATGTTCACACTATCCCCCTTTCCCCTATTTAAAGCAAGTATGGTTAAATTATGGTTATTTTGTATTAATATATGGTTATTTTGTATAATTGATACTCATTTATGTTGTTTTAAATGTAAAACAAAATAACAATTGTGACTTTAGGAAGAACATACTTTCAAATGTTTTGAGTAGAACAGCAGTTTACTTTTATTAAAGAAACAATAAGCTGTATTTTTCAATAACATTACTTCAGTGCTGACAATAAAATCATCTTTAATTTCATAGCATAATTTAAATCTGCTATGAATTAGCACTGAATTAAATTAGCAAAATATTGAATTAAATATTAAAATTAGAGTGCTTTATTTTTCTAAATAATTGGAAGTAATTATATTAAAAGCGTTTAAGCTTTTGATATAAATTATTATATTTTAGTTTTTGTATCAAAGTAGAAAATTCTTGCATTTTCTATATAACACAATTTTTAGTACTATTTTTTTACTTATTTTGCAATCTTGTTATATTTTTAAAAAAATTATTTTTACAAACATTTAAATTTATAGGCCGCATCATATTCCCTAAAGAAGTCACAGGTAAAGATGATGCTATAAAAGTGGTGCTTAATAGTAATGATTTGGTAATTATAATTTTATTTTTTGTTGAAAGTTTTCTTTCCAGAGGTTTTATGTTTTATATTTTCTTTAGTCGTGATTATCATAACTATGTTTTACTATGTTTTCTTCAACTCAATTTATATTATCATTTACAACTATTTGATTTAAAAAATAATTATTGTGAGAAGTTATAAAGAAATCATTTATGAATTAGAATATAACATTAGAGGGAATATAAAAATTAACTTTCAAAATTTTAAGCAGAGTAATTTAACCTTCTTTATTTATACTAGCATGATTAGAATGAAAAAAGAAAATATATGCTGTATTATACATGTAATTTGGGACAGACTATCCATTATAAAAAAGGTTCTGTGAAATATGTCAAAATTATATGTGTCTTATATATTATATTGTATCTTATATATTATATGTCTATTGACTTTAATATGATGGATTTACAAGATATTGACCCTGTGTTTACTTTTATTAATTTAATTTACTGTTCCTTCAAATTATGTTAAGACTTGAAACTAGCATTGTTTTTGCGTAAAAAATTTATTGTAAGGCTATAAAATATAAAATAAATGTTTACTTCCAACTTAAGAGACTTCTAAAACTTTGAAAGTTATGTGTCTAAACATGTATTGAATGCACTTTATTTATTTACATTTTATTCCATTTATTATATTATTATATTCCATTTATTATATTATTATATTCCATTTATTATATTTTATTGATTTGTAAATTATTGCAAATCAAACTTCAAACTAATAAATTATTTATTTATATTGCTTTTTTTTTGTCTAATCTGATACGATTGCTAATTTGTTTTAAAATGTCATTTAGAAATTCATTTAGTACTACTTAAATTTATCTAGGTTTACATTTTCTCTTTCTGTAATATATTACTATTATAGAAATTGTTAAATACTATTCAATGCATGTAGCTAAACTTCCTTTGCTTTTGAAAGTGCCTTTGTAATTTTAAATCACAATTTTGAAATTTTTACTGCAGTTTCAATTTTATTATACCATTTTTCAGATCTTTGCAGAAATTCGAAACTCATTTTTTGCTAGTGTGTTTGGCGTTCTTAGTAGCAGAGCGAAAGAATTGCAAACCAAATCGGTAAGTAGGTACTAGTATTTGTGCAATTTTTCTTTTTTAAAAATGATAAAAAATAATTTTAATAATTGAAATAAAAATTTTACTAATAATAACAAAGATACTTGTCAACTGATATGTTCATTGTATGAATCTCAATGTCGATTCTGTGATGTTTTAAAATATTCCCCTTTATATCTTTGAGAATATTTTTACTTTTTAGGAAACTCGAAATATGTCTGTAGCTGATATGAAAAATTTTGTGACTAATGATATGAAAAAAATTCGACAACTGCAGTCTTCATTATCATTACGTAAGCATATTGTCTTAATTTATTATTTTTTCCGATGTTAAGTATGTTCTGGTATTAAATGCTTCAAAAGTTTCATTAATTATTTTTCTCAAAATAGAAAAAAGATTAAATTTTTGAAATTAAAATTTATGTGCTCTTGTTCAATGTCCTTACTAATATTGTCCTTTAAAAAAGCAATGATGTAATCTTTTTTTTATTTATTATTGAATTATTCTCTATGCATTGTCTAATTCTTTAAAAAATATAGTTTCAACTATGCATGCTGTTTTAAAATATAAACAGTTAGTTTTCAGATACCTTTGTTTATTTTTTCTAGAAACATTGTTTTGTTTTATAATTTTTTTAATGTTTTTTTTCTGTAATCATTTATAATTTAATCTTTGCAAAATCTGTTTGTTTTCTAGATATTGGAGCTTGTGAAGCAATTATGGAAAAGAAAAGCCAGGATAACTTTCAAGAGCATTTGCAAATTGAACGAGGTATTATTTCTAAACTATATATATAATAAGAATTCAGCAATTTAAGCTTTTATCTCCCCATGATTTATAAGTTACACATTAAGTTTATTATTTCCAGACATCATTGAAAATCAAAATGCTAAAGATTGTATTGATTATATTGAAGATTTAATTAATCAACAAGTAAGTTTTTTTTAAGTTATGGAACTAACTATTTATATTTAATTAATATTGAAATTTAAATAATCCTTTTCGATGACTAATTTCGTATGGTAATTTTAACCTCCACATTCAAATTTGTTTCACTAATACTGTTAAATTTGCTTCCGAAATTTCATCTTATAAAATTTTGCTCTGCGACAATTAAAAACACAAAATGTGGATTTATAAAACATTGTTTACTCAAAAAAAAAACTATTGAAAATCAGCTCACTCAGTCTTTTACACAAGATCGCGCCTCAGACCAGCTCGCCTGTCTTCTTTCCTCTTCCATCTTTTTTCTCCATGTTAGCATGGGTCTGCCTCTTTTTCGTTTGCCTCCTGGTGCCAACATTAAGGTGGCTGATGGTATTTTTATAAAAGTCATTCTCAATATGTGTCTTATCCACTTCCATTTTTTTCTTTTTATACTGATGGTGATTGGTTCTTGCCTGGTTTTACTCAAGAGTTCTTAATTTGATATGGTCTGGGACGAGAATATTTCTAAACATCTGTTTTACCAGCTATTTAGTTTTGTACTCTGAAGTTTTGTTAGTTTCCATATTTCTGACCCAGACAATAGTACAATCCCTACCATGGAATTAAAAATGTTAATTTTAGTCTTTAGCATTAAATTATTTGAATCCATACTTTTAAAAGTTTTTTGAAGCAAAACTGTATTTTTGAAATTATTCGTCCTATTTCTGCGTTTGTTCCTCCCTTCCTATCAACAGTTGCACCAAAGTTAATAAATTTTTCAACACCTTCTATTTTGCCACTTTCAATTTTAACTACATGCTGAATCTTGCTTTTTATACTCACAGTCTTAGTTTTATTTTTATTTATTTTCAGTCCAATATTTCCTACATATTTTTGAAAACTAATTGTTTTGGATTACAGATCATCAAATTTGCTGGCAATCGAATCAATTATAATATGAAGAATAACTTTGATGCCACACATCACTATTAAACCCAGTCTCAATGGTAAAGGGCTCTGTCAGGCTTCCATTCTTCTCAACACAACACTGAATTTCTGAAGAGTTTTTTAATGATATTTATAAATATTTGGAAATGCTTTTAATAACTTTGGAATTTTCTATATCATCTCTCTATTAATAGAGTCTAATGCTTTCTAAAAGTCATGTACAATGATATGTTAAATTTGTGACATCTATTCACGAATTTAAAACATCTTGTACATGTACTTTGTATAATAATGTTTTTTAATGTAAATATTTGTTGAATTGTTCCTGCACCACTTCTAAAACCCGCTTGTTCTTCACATAGTGCATTTTCAACTTCATTTTTCAATCTATTCATTAAAGTTCTACTGAACACTTAGGCAGGAATCCACATAAGGCTGATATCTCTCTAGTTGTCACAAATGAATAGATTTCTCTTTTTAGGGATTTTGACGATAATTGATTATCTCCACTAGTCTCAGACTTCTTCTGTTTTCCAGATTCAATTAAAAAGGGGTTGTAATCTTCTAACTGTTCCATCGATATCAACTTTTAGCATTTCTTCTGTGATTTGATCGCTACTACTAGCTTTTCCAAATTTTAATATACCTTCAAGTTATTCTTGATTTCAATCAACGAAATTTCAGTTATCAACAGAAATGTTTAATGGAATGCCAGCTTTTGTTATCTGATTTATTTCCAGTACTTGATGTTTTATATGTAGAGTTTCTTCAAAATGCTCTCTTCATCTACTTTTAATTACTTAAGATTTTTCCTCGCTTACCTTTCACATTTTGTTGCTGCTTTCTTGCATCTTGACTAATCTGTTTTATTGCTTAATAGACTGTTTTCAATAGACTAATTTCTCCTCTCTCAGCAGCTTTCTTCAGCTTCCAGGTTGCACCTGTAATCCATTCCTTATTTACTTTCTTACTTATCTTCCCAATCATCTCTTCCGAAGTATCAATAAAGACTTTTCTTATTCTTTGCCATTACTATTCATGCTTTTCTCATTTCGGATGTGTATTTCGACATTTTCTTCTTCTAGTACGGCAAATTTATTTTTGAGTATGATGGCAAATTTGTCTTTATTTTTGTTCTTTAGTTTAGAAATATCAAATCCAATTAGTCTTCTATTTTTATTTTTGGAACATTTTTGAAGTTTCAGTTTCTGATTTATCACCTCTAAGTAGTGATCACTTTCTACAAAGTTCCTTTCCTCACTTTTTCGTCCTTCATGGATCTGATTCAAATTTTCCACTAATTGCAATATGGTCTATCTGGTTCTTGCTTTTCCCATCTGGTGATTTCCATGTCATTTTTTTAAAAAACTTTGTGTGTTTGAACTTAGTTCCAATAACAAGTCCATTTAATTTAAAAAAGAATGCACATTTTTCTTTAATCTCGTTTCTTTGCCCTGGAGCTTCATTTCCAATTTATCTTTCATTATCATATGTTTTTGTTCCAACTTTAGCATTTAGATCTCCCATTATAATTTAAAGTTTGTGTTTTTCAACTTTGTATGTTACTTTTTGCATTTGATCATAAAAATACTCCTTGTCTTTTCTTCTGTATCGTTTGTTGGAGCATACTCTTGTATAAAAGTCATTTTTACATACTTTCAGAAGAACCTTGCCTTAATTATCCTTTCGTTTTTTGGCTCCCATGCAATCAGACTGTTTTTTTGCCTTTTTACTTAAAATAAGGGCTACTCCTCCTTCATATTTTTCATCATTTCTTGAATAGAGTATTGTTTCATCATCTGCTGTTTTGATATTTTCAAAACCAGTCTACCTGGCCTCACTCACTCCTAAAATATCAAGATTATAATTGTCCATCTTGTTTGTTGTCTGTCTGGTCCTTCCAATTTGGTACACAGTCCTTACATTCCATGTTGCAATTTTTAGTGTTTCTTCTAGCCTAGGCATTGACTTCATCCACCTCAGTGGCCTTGTATTAGGGCTTTCTCCTTGATGCATCATAGGCACAAAATCCTCAGTAGACCAGGCAAGATAGCTGCCATCTAGTACCTTACAAGTCCCTGCACTTTCCATGAGCATAGCTCAATCTAAGCTTTGGGTTTCTGTTACCGAGAATTTTTTACTAGGAGGGGTAATTAGCCCCTCGCCCAACCTTCCTCATTTGCGTAGGCTTAGGACCGTCATAGGATCTGGCAAACTCTAACCTGTGGTTGAGTTATGGTTACGAATTACTTGGTACTAATTGATAGATTCTGCAAAATTTTATAGTTTTAACTTTTTTTTATATTTTTAGAGCATTTAAAGGAATGTATTAAAATTTAGAATAGGAAAAGGGGCTCGAGAAATGAAACAAATATAGTAGCATTTGTAGGAATAATAATAGAATTGAATATAGTAGACGATAAATTCCTTTTACGATACTATGGCAATAAAATCGATTGTTAGTATTTGGTAAATTATGGAACTTATCATCAGAAAGAGAGCACCTCAGATGCTTTTTTTTTTGTACTCTCTAGATCGGTAATAAATTCTATTTTATTTTGTTACTTGTAGCAGGCAGAAAATTATTAAAACTTGTATTGTCCTCAGGCACAGTACCACAATAAAAGCTTGAATACTCTAGTGTAAAATAAGCAAAATGAGTTTCTTTAATATGAGGTATTATGGTTTATAGTATAAATATATGCCTGAACTTTGAATTTGTATTATAATCTGTCTCTTGGTGGGGATATTTGTCTTATTCGCTATCAAAGTCATTAATTATTTAATTTTTAGATGGACAAATTTATTCTCTTCCAAAGTTGATATATTTTTACTTTTTATTTTTAGGAACCATACACAATAGCATTGAGACTAATGTGTTTGCTTTCAATCGCTCAAGATGGGCTTCTCCCATCAGAGTACAAATCTCTTGCCACACAATTTCGTCAAGTAATCTCCTTTCTATTCTGTTACATTGGCATAATTCATTATTTATTTAGTATTGATCTTGTAGTATGTAGCATCTATATTATTTATTATTAAGATGATAATATGCAAAAAATGTGATAGCTAAATGTTTTTGTGATAACTGAAATTTCCAATTTGAATTGTAATATCTAATTGTATCTTTATCTATCTTTATAACATTATTTTATATATTCTGTTATATTGCTGAATATCAATACTAAACCCTTTTTACTATGCTTTTTTTTAATTTCTTTTTCACTAATATATTGATTTGGTTATAAGAGTTGAAAATTTTCTGATAAAAATTTATTTGTTAACAAAAAATTATGATTATTTTTTTATAATTGAGTCATACTCATTTTGAAGATAGGTCCTCATTTCAAGAATGTCTGCTGATGTTGCAAAGGATATATTCTGCTGTCTTTAACAGCACTGTTCTTATTGCCTCTTACTCGTATAAATTAAATTGCCTTTTTAAATTTGTTAAGATTAAGATTTTTGTAAGACTAATTATGAATATTTATTACTATTATTTAACTTGACACAATTTGTTGTTGTTTATCCTCCTTGGCTTAGACGATTTAAAGGAAGTCAAGGAGACCATGTCGCACAATTAAATCAAAAACTATATCCCCCTGATTCAACAGCTGCCCCATAGAGGCACCAATTAGATATGTGAGGGAAAGGCGATGGCATAACAGTATAGTTCTTCTCATTTCCATTAAAAATTAGACTCTTAATGTGACTATTCCTAGGTCTAGATTTAGTGGTTTGAGCAAGTCTTGGACAGGAGCACCGCAATGACAGTTCAGGGAGCTCAGCAGCATACCAGGCATGTTGGGGCGGGGTCTTCGAAGTGGTGTTTATATTAGCCCAAAACAGGGAGTGGACCTAAGAAGTTTTCAGTTCGGTGAAAGGGGTAGTGGGAAGCTTGCTACTTTAGAAGGAGAGAAATTTGTTCTTTCATTAAATTACATTCAAACACAATATATTTAATATTATATTTCTTAATGATACCTTATTTAAAAAGGTGGAAGGATAACATGATTAAACTATATGTTATTGTTTTTATCAATACTTGTATACTTTTGCAATTATTATCTGAAACGTTGATTTATACATGGTAACAGAAGAACCATGTTTCTTTTTTTAGAGTTATGGGTGTAAGTATTTGCCTCTTCTTTACAATTTAAAGAAACTTGGTTTGTTAGTTGAGCAGTCATCTCTTTTACCATCTGGACAAACTACAGCAGGCAAAATTGTAGAAAAGGTTGGAAGAGTTGGAGCTTCTAGAATTGCAGAAAAAGTAGCAACAGCTGTTACCTTAACAAAATATAGCTCTTTTAAATCCATTTTACGAAAGTTCAATTTAGTAAGTATATGTTTTATTGTTTATGTTACCTCACAATAATTAACTGGATATAAAAATTTTTTTTCTTAAATGTGTGCTATGTTTCAGCCTACATCAGTAAGGGCTGTTCAAATTTCAATTTATATGGACTTCTCAAAACCCTATCATAAACATCTTTAGTCGCTTGTATTAAAATTGGAAGTTAAAACACTGCTTAAGGACTATATACCTGATCCAAGAACATGCAATCTTACTAATTTATAAGTGTTTTCAAAAGCTTCTGTTCAGTTCATAATTACAGATTATTGTTCGTTTTCAAGTAAAGCAATACATTTTATGCAAAAAAAATATAAGTTTTAAATATAAGTCATGAGTTATTTCGTGTCATATTAAAAAAAAATTTCTTTTTTATACCATATGTAGTGTGAAATTTTTATAATTTTTAATAAAAAATGTTCTCATTATCAATGATTTCAGATTCCAAATGAGCAGGACTCAGATTTAAGAAATCCTAAAAGTGTGAGTTATGTTTTTGGTGGGCGATATGTGCCTTTAATAGCGAGAGTAACAGAACAAGTAAGTTTGTTACTTGAATCTTCCTTTACATTAAACAAATGGCTTTAAACATTTAAAAAATGATTTTAAATATTAACTTTAAACATTTAAAAATGTAAACAAATGATTATTCTAAATATCTAGTATTTCAAATATATCAAAAAGAACTGTACTCACAATCAAATAAAATTTTGAAAAATTGAAATTTTCTCACATCAGCTTTCTTAATGCCTTTAATTGGTATTTCTTGATATTTTTTCTTTTGGTCATAAATTAAATATTAAAAAAAAATTGGATAATTTAAATTGAAGCTGATGAAAAGTATTTAATTTATTCAGCAAAAGGAATAAAAAGTATGATAATTCTATTTTAAGTCTCTTATTTAGTGTTAATTAAATTTCAAGTTTAAGTTGAAAGTTAAAACTTCCATTGTTCGAACTTCAATTTAATTGACATCTTTTTTTTCTAAAGCTTGATATTTAACTTATAATCATTTTTATTTTCAGCATAAATGCTTTCTTTAATGACGATCATTAAATAAATTCGTTTACATTTATTAAGTATATTCATTAATATCACTTATCCTTCATAATGCTTTTTATTGTTAGGTTATTGTTCATGGATCTCTTAAAAATATTGAAGATGGGATGAAACTTCTACCTGGAAAAACAATAATGAATTTCCAAGTTGACAAAGGTGTTCTATTATATACCTCTTTTTTCATAACTAATCAGTTTAATACAGAATCTTTATACTATATATATTTTTTTTTATCACTCTTAAAACGTGCTAATAATAAAGTTTTAGAATTGGTATTGATTTATTTTTGCAAATACTAAATAGAAGGGATACTGAATAAAATCATTGATTTAAATCAACTTTCATTTTTTTAAGAAACTCGTCGATTTAAACCAATTGATTACTTTTAAATAAATCAGAAATAATGTTGAAAATACTTTTATAAATAAAGTTTAAGTTATTTTCGACTTTGAAATAAAGTCAAAACTATTTTTATAAATATATTCTTTAGGGTGTGATTCTTTTTAAAGTCTACTTTCATTGATAATGAAGTTTTTATCCAAAGAAATAATGAAGGGGTAAATTATTATGTTTCTAAATAGACTAATGAATAAATAAAATTAGAGACTTAAAGCGGATAAGAGTTACATTACACTGTTAATAATTTCCCATTTCCTGTATGTAAAATAATTTGCTGGTCATAAACATATATCAGTTAAATCCATTAATTTTTATGTTTATTAAATACTTTAAGTGCTCTTAAAATGTATTAAATACGTAGCTAGTATTTACCAATATTAAAAAACTACTTATTCTGCCCAAAAAAACTTACAATATTTTTTTAATGTTTTCTAAACTAATTTACTCTTCATTGGATATCTAACTGACAACTTTCCTTGCTGTCTTTAAAATTTTAGGATGTTTCACTAGTCCTGTAGTCAATTTTGAGTTTTTGGTTAAAATATTATTTTCTCCCACAATGCAACAATATTATTTAATTACATAATTTGGGTGATATAAGGATGAGAAAGAATTTAATCCAAGATCCCAAAACCTATAACCATGCTAATAATTACTTGCTGAAATTTTCAGAAGATGTGTCACGTTCTAAACAAATCCACGAAACTTATGCTAAAAGGTTTCATTAATAACTAATGTAACTATCATTTTAAAACCATGCAAATCAGTGTGATTTTCTAAATAATAAACTACACTTCTTCAATAAAAAGATAGATTTTATTAACCATTTGTACTTTATTCTGTCTTGCGATAGGTCAGGTTTTAAAGCTTTTTTCTCTTTATAAATTAGCAATCAAGGAGTAATTTTGATTGTAAAGAAAATGTTATAGTTAGCTATACAAAAATATATATTGATAGAGTTGGGAAATATAATTGAAAATTCTTTATTAAATTGTGATTGGCAAAATTCTTCTCTGTAGACATTGATTTATAATGCTGTCACATTTCATTTTTTAATGATGTATTGATATTCTTATGAATAATTTCATATTATAAAATTTGGTTAGATCATTTAATCATGTGCAATCATTATATGTCAAGACATTTTAGTTTTTAAAAATAGTTTTATAACACAGTGTTGTATATTGTGTTGCTTTTGACAATTTAAAGATGTTATTTATATTTAAATATTTGTTTATGATTTACTTTTAGATTCTGGGACTGTGAGGCCTACAACTGATTTCGTCTCAAAAACCGTTCTAGTATATGCATTAGGTGGAATTACATTTGCTGAAATAGCTGCCCTAAGACATTTAGGTCAATTGAATGGTATGTTATTGAATCTCTTAGATTTTTATCATATTGTAAAACTATAGGAATTATTCTCTATGCACATTTGAATCTTTACCTTTATTGGTTCACAAGTTCTTTACTGGTATCACAAGCTTAATTTCCACCCGGTATGATTATAATAATTAATTATATTATAGTTATATAATTAAATTGATAGCAAATATGACTACAATAAGATTGATAAAATGACAGAAAGACTTTTGCCACCATTATTAATGTCTATTAATGTCTATTAATGGTTAAATTTTCCAGAAATAATGTATGAAGATGATTATTGTTGGCAAAACATTCTTTAGTGGTCCCACATGTCAGAAAGCTCTTTTTGCACTACGTGTATCAGGGCAACATTTCTATTAGGCATGCATTTTTACATGATTTTTTTTTTACATGCCTGCATGGGCATATAAATATTTAATCACAAAAAACCATAAAATACTGATTAATATTCACCTTAAATTATGATTATAAATAATAACTTATAAAGGAAAGTTAGCTTATTTCTTTTTATTCTCCTTGTTCTATATTTTATTTTCTTTAAAAGAAAAAAAAGTTTATCCCATCTCTTTAATATAGAAAAATTATTAAAAAGTTGAATTAAAAATGTAAAAGTAATAGCATTTTAATAATTTTAACATAATATGTGCTTTAAATCTTCAATGAAATTTAACAATTTACAAGCAAATAGTTAGTATTTCTATTTACTATTTATATTTACTTTTTTGTTTTGTATTTCTGTTAAACGAGATAATAAGTTTCTTTAAAGGAGTGGTTATATTTATATAAGTGTATTTATATGTTTGTATAAATTTGCATTCATAAACAATGTTTGCACATTGAAAGTTTAATTAGAGCACATATTTCACAGACTAACATGCCCGACAGGGCTTGTAAAAATTTTGATATTCTTCAAACCCTGTATATATGTATAATTTTTATTAAGTTTTTAACTCGTGGTTATCAAATTTTTTTTATTCTTCTTTTATTTTTTAGGTTGCAGAATACTTTTAGCTACAACATCAATTATTAATGGAACGTCTCTTTTAAAAATGTTCACACCTTCTGAAAAATAATTTATTTTACTAAGTTGTTGCTAACAAGATCTCCTTTTTATATATGTATGTTTAGAATGTGAAAGCTTCTATTAAAAACTGTTATGTTTGACAATGTGAGAACAGACGTGCTTTGCCTTGAAACTCTTTACACCTGAAAGGTGCATGAGCCCTCCATCCTCTACTGCAGAGTGTGATCTCTCTTTCAATATTCCAATTCGACCAATTAAATTGATTTCTCTTCTTGGCCATGTTGTTTTCGTCCTACCTCTCCTCCTCTTTCCATCTGGTGACCAGGTCAATGTGTTTCTCTCATTCTCTTTGGCATGTTTTCTTAATGTGTTAGACAATTCAGTCCATCGTCTCTTTTTTATATCTATTGTAAGTGGCTAGCTACTGAATTTATGGTATAAGTTTATGTTGCTCATTTTGTTTGACCAGTAGCTTTTTAGTACTTTTCTTGAAGAGCATCTATTTTGTCTTTTCAAATTTCATTACAATTGACCAATCATTTGCCATTTGTTTTACTGTTTAATTTCATTACTTTTGTGATTTATCTTATTTATTTTTTATATTATTTTATTTTTAGACCAATTTTCTGAGCAATTGTTTGAAGGTCTTAAGGTTTTTCTCGAAGGTATCTTTGAATCTTTACGGCAGTTGAATAATTTCTTTCTCAAGCACCAGATCCTCAAGGCAATTATTGAAGTCCCATCTTATGCCTTTATTTCTGGCTTTCATGATGGTCCTCAAAACCCAGTCTAGAGCTATGATAAATGGCAACCCAGTGTCTGACTCCGGTTTTGATTCCAATTTTTTCAAACTGCACCCCTTTCACAATTACTTGTGCATTTCTTCTACAATACATTTTTGATATTAATAATCTTACCCGGGATACCATTGAAACTCAAGATCTTCCACAAATATTCTCTATCAATAATTTCAAAAGCCTTTGAAAAGCCAAAAGAAGTTTAAATACAATGTCTCATTTCTTTCAATGCATTATTTTATGTAAAATGAGAATTTGATTTACAATGCCACTTCCAATTCTGAATCGTGCCTGTTTATCTCTAATCAATTTTGTTTCTTATTTTATTAATAGTTATTTTTGAGAAAAATTTTCCCTGAACACAAAGTTAACTAATTCCTCTCTAGTTGTTATGGAGTTAATTTTCCCTTTTTCGGAATCTACTATGTATGCCTCTCTCCACAGGAGGAATGTACTTTTTCCGCATTCCAAATTAGGTTAAACAGCTTAAGTAATGCCAAAGCTGAGATTTTTAAATCCGCTTTTATAAATGTTGACGAGAAAAATTATTACTGCTTGTTCTTTTGCTTTTCTATTTTTAAATAGCATCTATTATTTCTTAGCAAGTGATTCCTCCCATACCAATATCAATATCTCTTTGGTTCTCAAATGCTGATGTGATATTGTATTTATACAGTGAAGCAAAAATGTTTCAGAATGTTTGTGATTGATTAAAAAGATCAATTTCAACATTTGAGTTTTAAAGAAAAAGAAATTTTAAGTTGTATTTAAATTGTTTACCTCTGAATTTATGAATTTTATCAAAATCACATTTTAATACCGCCGCTGTTGTGAATATTAAAATATGGTTTCAATGTCAGTGCTGTCATGAGTTTTAAAATCATATTTTGATACCGCCGATGTCATGAATTTTAAAATATGATTTTAATGCCACCTTTGTCATGAATTGATGCTTCAATAAATTATCAAATTATTTTTGTAATGTATACCAATAAAAAAATAGAAAAACGAATTCAATCATTTCTTTCATCCAACTAATATTAATACAAATTTTTTTAAAAACATTTCAGAATTCGAATAAATAATCAGAAACCACGCAACCTGTAATCATAAAAAACTATTGTAGAAAAAACTATTTAAAACTAGAAAGATATTGCGATTTTATACAAAATCATGCATTTATTTACAGTGGGTCAAAAATGTTTCTGAACATTTATGAGTGTTAAAGGGTCTTAATTTAGACAGATGAATTGGGACTTTTTGGATGTTTTATTGAAAAAATTTAAAAATCAAATGTCAAATCTTATCAAGCAAAGGTTACAACATCAAATGTTAAATATCATTAAGAAAAGGTTACAAAGTCAAATGTTATCGAGAAAAGGTTATAAAATCAAATGTTAACAAGAAAAGTTTCAAAATGAAACGTCAAATATTAAAGGTTTCAAAATTCAATGTCCGCAGCAAAAAAAGTTACGAAATCAAATGTTAACGAGAAAAGTTATAAAATTAAATGTTAACGAAAAAAGGCTTAAAATCAAATGTTATCGAGAGAAGGTTTAAAACTAAATGTCATTGAGGAAAGATAACAAAAACAAATGTTAAACGTCATCGGGAAAAGATTACAAAATCACATATTAAATGTCATCAAGTTCTCCTGCCTTCAATAACCTTGAGGTAAAACCCAAATTTCAACTGTTGCCTTAACCCCCAGACGTAGACAAGCGAATTCGAATTTTCCTTAATATATATATGGACTGATCGTAAAGGTTCCCAGTAGAACACCGAAGTCAAGCATCACTGGCTGCGGTCAGTTTGCGTGTGGGTAACCACTTTGATCAGCCTTCATAGGGACCGAGCGGTATCAGTCCTCGTTAAACTGTTCTACCATAAAGTGCTTGACTAAGCACGCAGGTCTCCAAGCGGACAAGTCATTCGCGCGCAGGTTATCGGGCTACCAAAGCGGAGAAGAGGATCTGCAGAGGATCAAGATGAGGATGGCATGTCTTCGGATCATCCTCGGGGATGTTTCCCAGACTGTTGCCAATAGTTGATTGTGCGGTTCTAGTGCGATGTAAATAAAATATCTGCCTATATATATATATATATGTTCATATATGTATTTATTATTGAGTGGCGGATGACAATTTGATAGAAAAAACACTTAAATTTAAAATAGATTTGTAATTTTGAATGGATTTTCATTTGGGGCGATGAACTTCCCAGCTATTCATTTGGTTTACCTGTATTGGCATCATATGTTTTAAAAAAAATTTACAATGATTGGCTGCTAAATCAACAATTTATGTTAAAAAATTACACTTTTAACAACACTAGAATTCTGAAATATAAAAAAATAATACATATAAATTTTCTTAAATCAAGTATAGTATGGGCACGAAGGAGAAACATTGAAATCTTGTGTTCCATAATTTATATAATTTTAAAGTTTTTCACTTTTTTATTTTATATATACGTTTTCTTGAAAAAATATTAGTTAACCCATTGGTTTATGCAGCCAGACCAAGCAGTTTAGTTTGTTGTTACATTGTCTGCTGTAAGACGAGCTGAGCAGAGCTTTTTGTAATATTTTTTCCTTTCTGACTATAGATGACATGAGAGCCGTGGTGGCTCAGGGAATAGAGCATTCGCCTTCCAATGAGGTGAACTGGGTACAAATACCGCACCCGGCTTATACTGACCACAGTGATGTAAAATATTCTCAGTGGTAGACGGATCATGGATTAGAGTCCCCTTGCTGTCAGGTTAGCCGTGGGAGGTATTGGTTGTTCTCCTCTAGGTGTAACGCAAACGCGGGTTAGTTTCATCAAAAAGTTCTCTACGAAAGCGAGTTTCTCCCAATACTTGATCCAGGAGTTCCCTTGTCTTCTGGATTGGGTTCAAAATTACAAGGCTATGGAGTTGAACATAATTATTTGTAAACCATAAATACGGTCGGCTGTTCAATGACGGTTATAAAATTAAATTAAATAGATGACATGCCATGTTTATAGAGGGTTTGAAAGCTTCTCCAGGGTACTGTTGTCAGTCTTATTCTAAGAAAGTGGCCCTGGTTTAAATCCGATAGTTGTGTGGTCGATTGGAATTTTGCTCCAGACTCGCACAGACCACAGTGCTGGCATAAAATACGCCCAGTGGTAGACGGATCACGGGCTAGAATCCCCTTGTTGTTGGACTAACCGTAGGAGGTTTTAATGTTTGCATGTAATGTCTACATGTAACGCAAATGCAGATTAGTTCCATCAAAAAAGTCCTTCCGGAAGGCTAGTTTGTCCCAATTCTTGATCCAGGAGTTCCCCTATGTTTAAATTGGGTTCAAAATTACATGGCTACGGAATTGAATACTGATAGTCATAAACTCAGAATTGAGTCGGCTGTTCAACATGAGTTATAAAATAAAATAAAAACTATTTGCTTCTAAAAATTCACCAGTTTTTAGCTACCACTATTCTTTCAGTGATAAAAGGATGAAGTATGCCGCCTCAATAAGAATACACTGACCGAAGCCGCAGTTCGTAAAGTATTGCCTGACTGAAATTTCCAGGTCCCACAAAATATTATTTAGTCAAAGGCTTAATTATAGCATTAAATTTAAAAAAAATTATACATTTTGTGTTTAATCAATGAATCAGAGCATATTGAATATAACATGTAACAGAATTGTTTATAATTATATAAAATTAAAAACAATTAGCAGCAAAAGATAATTATTACTTTATTGGATTTCTAGAAAGTGCAAGACCTGTCTTAAGAGCGCCAAAGATTTGGATAACATGTTTAATTGATGAAGATTATTTGCATAATTTAAAAAATATAAATTAGTAAAATTCTTTAGTATAAATAAAGTAGCTGCAGGGTTTCAATTATTCTTTTGCTTTCTATACAATTTAGTTTAAAGATTTTTGTTCTATATTACAAGGAAAAATTTATTAAAAATAATAACCCAATATGAAAATACATTCAATTTTAAGAGCATAGAATAGAAGGGTATAGTTTTGTTATGATCCTTTATTTTTAACATACCTTTTTTTTTCTTTTTAAACTAAAATATGATTTATTCATGTCTCTCTCTCTTTTTTTTTTTTTTGTAATTGGTTTTTATTTGCTTGTTCTAGAATTCATAAGATTTGTTCAGATTTCTTATAAAACTTTTCTCCAGTAATTGAAGTATCATTTTTATTTCTTTGATATGTTAAAACTTTTTTGAGTAGTTTTGTGATTACAAAACTAATTTAAATATAATATGAAAAACCCAAAAGATATACGACAAAGGGTTACTTTGTCATTTATCTTCTGAGTTTTCTTTAAAGAGTACATGGAGTATTCTTCAAAGAGTTTTAACTTTTTCTTAATTTCATCATTAAACATTTATTTATTTTCTTTTCTCTTTAAAAATACGGAGTTATTCATTTATTTTTGAAAGCAATGGTAAAGTAATGATATTAACAAAAGCACAAGAAGCAGATATATTTTAAAGCAGATGAGAACTTATTAATCTGGCATAGTACAGTAAATAACAATTATCAAATAACTGATTTTCTGCATTGTTGTTATAAAAAGTTTTTCAATTTGATAGTAAAGGATAAAATATCTACTTTTTGTTGTACTCAAATTGAAAAACATATATCAATTTTGAAAGAAGTCAAGAAATTTTAGGTGACGATAAAAGTTTATTTTGAAAATGATAAAAAAATAGCAATCAGTGATTATAAAACTAATTTCAAGACATGACATTTAGTGGTCAAATTTAAGTTGAGACAAATCATTAGTAAACAAAAAAGCAGCAAAAAACTATTGAAACTTTTTCTGTAAAATATTTATTCTGCAAACATTAACAAGAATAAAAATACTAAATGAAGATGCAAATTCATTTAAGAAATAACTATTTGCATAAATTTAGTAATATTTTTTCATTAATTACTACACAAATAATCAGTTATCTTGTAGTAATATTTTTAAATAAGACACAACAGAAAACATTAAATAAAGATTTCAGTATCGTGAAAAAAGTATGAGAAAAAGGTGTAGTACTTTAAAATCAATGATATATAATTTAATAAATTCTATTAAACATAACACAGTTAATATAATGACTAGACACACATATGCTTAGTTATGATATTCAATAATTTTATCCTTCTTAGAGAACTCTGATTAGGAAATATAACTAAGATCTATTCATAGCTAGCCTGTGACATAATTTTAAGCTGAACGCAAATGGCTTCAACTTCCATTATGGGTAATAATAAGTAGGAATATTGGTATCTAACACAAAGTGAAAAAACCGTTACAACCATATATCATGTAATTAAAAAAAATCTTTAATTGGCAATTAGTAACGGAATTTCCCAGTGAAAAGAAATATGAGAGTTGGAATTTTAGTGTAGCAAAACTGTTGCAGAGACGCTTTGCAAAATGTCGCTTATACATTTAGTTGGTTACATACTTACCTTATCTCAGAGCAAGTGAGTTCTCTCTTCCAACATCACATGTATATACACTGAAGAGAAACATAGAATTTTAAGTTTGCTGGTGGTTTAATTTAGTATTGTAATAATGTTTTCGAAATAGGAACAACTGAGTTAAATAAAATTTAAATATGACAAAGTACAATAATGTCATTAAGGTGTTCAATAAGAGTGAGGGTAATCTGCCCTGCCTTACAAAACGATAGTCCTAATGTGAAGGAAGAAGAAAGGGTTCAATGGGACTGGGAAGTACTGTTCCATCCACTATACTCCTCAGACTTGACTCGTTGTAATTTGGACATTTCATTTCTATGAAGGAGCTACAGTAGCATTCACTACAGGACTTTTCCAGAGATTTTCAGGCAACAATCCACTCTATTCTACAGAACAAGCCCTGCTGATCCATCATCATCTACATCACTGGAAACAAGTTGTACATGATACTAATGGCATCATTGAAGAACAGTACAAGTTGAGAAGATGTATCTCTTTCATCCAGTTGAAAACAAATAGTTGTTACTAACTAAAAATCCAACCCTCATAATATATAAATTAACATAGCTGTTTGCTTGCAATTTGTCCGAATGGAGTATCACAATCAAATAAAAATATACTCTAATTTCTTACTTCATGTTCAAGTAATATATGTACCCGATAGCTAAATTTACTTAGTCAATGTTCAAATAATACATATACCCAGTAGTAGAATTTTCATAGTCAATCTGCAGCACTATCTTCAAAAATTGAAATTTGTCTGCTACTTCACGGTCGCGCAGAGATTATTATTGCAAAAATTAAGCCTAATCTGACATATTAGCCTAATTTGCAAATGTCAAATATAATAAAGTTGTACACAAAAACTTTCTGTTATTTAAACTTAATTTGTACTTTATACGATCATATTTTAACTTTGCCCAAAGAGAGAAAACATGGACTGTTACACTAAAACCAATAAAGAAATCAGGAAGAAAGGTTTAATTTTCAGGTGATAATATTAAAACAAAATCTTTGCATTTTAAAGTAAGAAAGTAACATATAGTCTTTCTATGGAAAGAACTTTCTCGCCATTTGCCAGGAACAGTGGTGGTGACTGATTACGAGGTTCAACTATTTCAGGTAGGGGTGTTAGGTCAATATTTAATAGGTTTTGGCTCAGGTCAGTGAGAGAAGGGGAATTAGTCTTTTTTTTAACCAAATTTTTTTTTAAAAAAAAGGGAAAACTATATTTTCTGCAAATGTAGAACAAAGAGCCGGGATAGCCTGGTTGGTAGGGCACTGGGCCCATATCCAAGAGGTCAGGGGTTTGATCCCCGCCAGCCTAAGACACCTCGTGTAGTAAATGGTGACGGATGCACGTTAAATCTGTTGAGTAACAAAGTCCTCCTTGTTCCCATAACAAATCATACCTCTGGGGCTACTGATCCAGGAGTTTCCTTGTCTTCTGGATTGGGTCAAAATTACAAAGCTAAGGAGTTGAACCTTAGTAGTCGTAAGCCCAACAGCTGGGTCGGCTGTTAAATGCCTGATATAAAATAAAAAGAACAAAAAAGCTTCCCTATTTAATTTTATTCTTAATTTTTTTACTTGCTTTATTTATTTATATTTTGCTTGTAATTTTCTTACCCTTTATTGTTTGTTTTTAAAAAAATCTGTGGTAGAAAATAAACTGCAGATACTCTGATAATCTGCAGCCCCCACTGTCACACTGGAGGGTTTCTACCAAAGAATATAGAAAAGAGAAGAAGTTCAGCTCTTCAAGTATGTAACTAAAGTGGGGAACTGCTTGGTGTGGTACGCTATACCAGAAAAACAACTTACAGGGCAAGCAACATACTCAGATTTAGCAGAGCGTCATTTGAATTAAGATCCAGCACATGAGTATAAGAAGTAAAGTGACAGTCAGGAGGTACATCACCTGTAAACTGGTTGTTGGACAACTTTTCCATGAATATATATATTAGGTACGCTGTTTCCTGCTGACAGACATTTTATTCTTTCTTTCTATGTCAAAATGTGTTAGCAGATTTAGTTAATGGATGATATAAATGTGTTCTCAAAGAACTACTTAATTAATAGTACAGTACTATTTATCAATAGTGTAAGAATACAGAGCAAATCAACAATAAAAAACTTTTCCTCTTCACCCCAAAATTGTATTGGTTAGAAGAGCCCATTTCAAGAACCTCAGCTGTTGTTTTTTCCTTTATTCAAAGGATCGTACCAAACTTTAGGGGGCTGATTTACATAAAGCCAATGAAAGCTAGACTTCTTCTCCTACGTATATTCTTTGGTTTCTACTAAGAGTATATATATATTATAGCTCAATAATTATCGCTGCAACACCGGCTCTTGCAACATATCATTTAAAAGAGCCAATGTTTCTTTAACACATTGTTTGCCTTTAGAATAATCTGTTTGGGCTTTCTTAGATGCAATAAAGTCCAGCATGGCAAAATTGTTTTGTTCCAGATACTGCCATCGTCTCTCAAGATTACACAGCTGAGTATAAGTTTCATTGTCATTTAGTTTATTCTTCTGTGTCTCATAAAGAGTATTTATTTCTCCAACTACCTGTAAAAAATATATATTTTTAATCCAAAGGTAGGCATATAAATAACATGCAGATATAATAACACAATTTAATTGCTATATATATATTTCAATTCAATGCGGGAAACATAATATATATGTTTATTGATAAGAATTTAATAAAAAATGATATAGCTTACTTAAATACTGATAAACTAAAAGCTGCATCAAATTTTGAAGTTTAAGATTTATAAATGATCTATTCTATTAAATAAAGAATTAAAAAAAGATCTCTATTTTATAATGAAATATTTATGATGTAAAATTACAATTTTGCTTTTTAGAAAGTCAATAATCACAGAAACAATTCAGCTGTTAATAATTACTACATGGGACTTAAGACAATAAAGCTGATAAAAACTTGATTATTTCAACAAATTCAAACAAAAATTAACTAAAAAGAAGTTTATAAGACTTTTTAGAAAATAAATCTAAAATAAATTAATAAAAAAAATAAGCAAACAATTAATATAGTAAAAGAAATGCAACAATTTTATTAATTGCTTTGCCTAATGCATGTAAGAAGAATTTGAATATAAGACAATATAATTTTTGATTTTGAGAAATAGAAAGCAAAACAAATCTATAGTTGCTTTTGTATACAAAACATTAAAAGTTATATTAATTTTTTCAAGAGTATATCACAATTGCTGCTATCTTAAAATTATCAAAGTTGTAAGGGAAGCAAATATCACTATGTCTTTTTTAAACTAAGTAAAGTAACAAGTAAAAAATATATTAAGATTTATAAAAGAATTATTCAATTGATCCTGTTGCAAATTAAACATTTGTGACATAGTGCTCTTTATGTTTGATACATAGAAATATGAATAGATTTCAAATAAATTTATGTTTTAAAAATTTTAAACTATTTTTTTTTATTTAAGCAAATATTTCTTCATTTAAAAGTTTTAAAATATATTATATTTTAAGAAAAATTGTACTTAGTCGTAATTAATCTTTTATTCTTAATGTTCAATTGAGCAAATTCATCAAAGTAACAAGTTTCTACTACAAGGAAATCCCCTATTATTAATTAAATTAAATAATTTTCTAATATTTTATAAGGGAAATTTAACATTTAAAATAAAACTTTAACTTCATCTTTTTTACTCAAATAGTGAGAGTAACTCTTTTCTATGTTTTATATATGTTTAGGAATAGATTAATATACCATAAAATGCTATAAATCAACAATTTGTTAAAACCTGCATTTCATAAGGATGAAAACCTATGAGTAAAAAGATACATACCTTTTTACTATATTCTTTTTGCTTTTTTAAAATTTTATCTTCTTCAATTAGCTTATCTTTCTTTTCTTCAGCAGCGGTTTTCAAAGCACCCAGATCAGAGTAAACAATCATCTCTTTTTCCATTGAAGTTATTTTTTGTTGCAACGTTTCCAATTCCTGCTGAATTTTTGTTTCCAATTGTTCAATCTTTAAATAATAATGATCATGATTAGAAGAGAATAACGGTAAAAATGAGCATATTTCTATTTAAGAACAATCTCCCAAAACATTTTTTATAATAATACAATTTATGACAAGTTTAAAAGTTTCCCTTTAAAAAAATTAAATAGTACTTTACTTTTAGAGTTAATTAATAGAAAAAGATTTAATCTATGTTTTATAGGTGGATTTAATTAAAATAATGTACATGTGAATACTAAAATATACCTTTATGGTGCTAATTAGATATTATGCTTATTACTAAAATATACCAAAAATATGTGCCATACATATTAAAAAATATATGCCATAAAATACTGTAAGAATAAATATTATAGACAAAAAATTGAATCATACTTCAATTTTGTTGTAGTAATGTATGTTAATATTGAAGAGTGAAAAATCTTCATAGACAATTTAAAATGTCATAAATTGACTGTTAAAAAGGACAGACAGTTTAGAATAGTTAGCAATTACAAACTTACAATCGGCACCTTTTATAAATACTTGTCTCTTTTTATTTTTCTTTAGCGTAATAAATTAAAAATAACAAGGTATATTAAAAGGATAATTGAGAAATATAGTGGGTTAATTTTTAGTAGCATCTTTAAACATCATATCAATTATTTATTCAGGCATATCTCACTTTTGCTTAAAGGTCATAAAACCTCTTTTGTCCCAAATTCTAACTGTTTCAAGCATTGATAGTGAATTTGAATTTCGTGAAGCATGTTTATTTTCAACCCTCAAACTGTTGGTTAAGTTATTTCAAGTAGGAATGATAGAAAATAAATAGAAATTTGCAGTTTTTTTATTTTTAAGTCAATAATGTTGCACATTGACTACAAAAATAAAAAGATTTCTTTAAACTATTATTAAGCATTGAAGGCTTCTCACAACAATTAAAAGGCAATAACTTAGTTACAATGGAAAACTTTAAATCACGAGGAAAAAAGAATAGCTGGATATTAATTAAATAAAATGCAGAAAGAAATTTTTATATTTAAGAGAATACATGAAAAATTGAACTAAAAAACTATACTGTATCAAAACTAATATTGTCGTACAATGTTTAAACAAAAGTTTATATATATGTTGGTATTATTGAAAATATACCTTTGTCAAATCCATTGCAAGTTTCTTTTGCTCATTATTTAGAGTCATAACAGTCATTCTGGATTTTTCCATTTCTCCTTCTTTAAATCTAGGAATTTAACATTTATGAATACTAAAACATTTGTCATACATTAAAAATTTAACTTTGCATAGAAAAATTCTAAAGCATAATGTTTAATTGTTTTTCCTCATTTATATATTTGATTCTCATAGTATGATTTTTAATTTGGGAAAATTAAATTCTGAAACACAAATTAACTCATTGAGAGCTAGTTCATGCCTTTTATGAACTCATGTTCAGAAAAGCTCAATTTCAGTACAATTTAGCTTGAGTGCTCAAAACACCCCATTAATCAATTTATAAATTACTAACTCAGGGATCAAAGCATTTTGTTATAAATTTAGAAGAGACAGATCATTTTCATGAACTATATGATGTGTTCAAAATTTATTATTTAAGACAAAATGATAACTTGACTTATATGAAAAAATTAATGAAAACTTTGAATTTTTTGAACAGAAGTCACTTTTAATATAACTTATATACTGCATTTTGGAAACATAGTTTAATTTCTAAATCAAAAAAACTTGAGAAGTGACTTAAAAATTTGAACTTTATTATTTCCTTCATAAAATGTTTAATTTAAAGATTTAAAAATATAGCATTTTATTATAAATTGAAAATGTTTAAATAGATAGATCATTCTCATAAAATAAATCATCATTAAAATTAAATTATTATTAAATCATAAAAATTAAAATATATTTAAAAATAAGTGAAAAAATGTGTACCTTAAAAGAGAAAGCACATTTAATTTAATTTAAATTAACTTTATTTTTTGAAATGTAAATCATCTTAAATATTTCAGAAATTAAATCAGGATTTACAAGTCAAATACTTCATCGATAAGTTTTTAAATCAAAAGGAATACAAAAATATAGCACTATTTATAAATATCCCTTTAGGAAATGTTAAACTTCATCTGTAAAATATATAAATCTTCNGATTCTGTTTTTCAATTTGGGAAAATTAAATTCGGAAACACAAATTAAGTAGTTCAAGCCTTTTATGAACTCATGTTCAGAAAAGCTCAATGGGAGAATGTGTGTAGCAAGGAAATTTCAGTACAATTCAGCTCGAGAGCTCAAAGCACCCCATTAATCAATTTATAAATTACTAATTCAGGGATCAAAACATTTTGTTATAAATTTAGAAGAGACAGATCATTTTCATGAACTATATGATGTGTTCAGAATTTATTATTTAAGACAAAATGATAACTTGACTTATATGAAAAAATTTATGAAAATTTTGAATTTGAACAGAGGTCACTTTTAAAATATAACTTATATACTGCATTTTGAAAACATAGTTTAATTTTTAAATCAGAAAAAATTGAGTAGTGATTTACAAATTTGAACTTTATTATTTCCTTTATAAAATGTTTAATTTAAAGACTTAAAAATATATCATTTTATTATAAATTGAAAATCTTTACATAGATAGATCATTCTCATAAAATAAATTATCATTAAAACTAAATTATTATTAAATCATAAAATTAAAATATATTTAAAAATAAGTGAAAAAAATGTGTACCTTAAAAGAGAAGGCACATTTCATTTAGTTTAAATTAACTTTATTTTTGAAATGTAAGTGATCTTAAATAATTTAGAAATTAAATCAGGATTTACAAGTCAAATGCTTCATCGATAAGTTTTTAAATCAAAAGGAATACAAAAATATAGTACTATTCATAAATATGCCTTGAGGAAATGTTAAACTTCATCTGTAAAATATATAAATCTTCCAGCTTTGATATAAATATGTATGTGTCTAAAATTGAATGGCTAATCGAGCATTTAACTCATAAACATTAAACCAATCAAACTGAAAATATACACACTTAAATATTTACTCATGATCTTAATTTAATATTATATATTGAAGAGATTCTTTAACAAATGATAGGTTTGTTTTTGTAGATACAAATAGAATTTATCAATTTATTTTAATTCCATAGTAGATGTGAGCTTATAAAATGAAATATTGGAATCATTGCATAGACAGTAATTTTTCAATTAACTGGAATAGTTATAAGAAACTATAAAAAAATATGATGCAAATAATCATTATCAATTATAAATTAGCATAATTTTGATAATTTGCAAAATGCTAACAGAGAGTGTAAGGTAATGGAAAATAACAGCTTTTATTTTAGTTTATGTTGGTCATTTTAAAAGGAACAAAAAGAAAATTTTGTTTGACATAAATAGATTTTTTGATCATTCAAATTAATAGTTGAATATTTGATAATATTATTAAAAAGTTTTTACAATTCAAACACTTACTGTAAATCATCTTTAAGCAGTGCAAGCTCTTGGGGAGAAGGAATATGGTGAAAATGGCCTATATTTCGACTTAATTTTTCCAACAATGATACCACTGTACTTTCTAATTGAATCTTTTTTTCAATGCTAGTAGTTTGATTTTCATCAAAAGTAGATAGGAAGCTATCCATTGTTTCTTCTCTCTTTTTAAGCTCTCGATACTTGCTAATTCTCTCTCCTTGGTTGTCTTCCAATTCTTGATCAATTTGCTCCAACTCATTTTTTCCACGACTTATTAGTTCTCGAATTTCAGCCAACTGCCTTTCAATACTTGTTATTTCCGTATTATGTTCTTTTACCTAAAAGAGTTATTGAAAAAATATCAAAAATGAACATGTAGTCTCTATAGTATGAATAAATAATGTTTTAACAATCCATGGAAACAATAGCCCAGCTAAGAAATAAGTACTTTTGTCCTAACTGTGCTCCAACATCAAATATTTAGAGCATACAGAACCAAAAAAAAAATTTTTTTTCTCCATAAAATAGCATTCTATTAGGTAATCAACAAAACTCATAAATATTTCTTGGTACATGCACAATCATTAGCCCTTCAATAAATAGGATAAAAAATATTTACCAAGCAAAAAATTAAGGACAAACACAAGCTATTTTCAAATTCCATGTTCAAGAGTACAAATTGTTCTCCAATTTTGTATGGGTAAAAAAAAATTTATTAGCTCAAACTTGAGTGAAGTATCAATCATATGTGCATTTAGGGGATCATAAAAAAAACTAATAAAGTGAGAAAATAAAATTTTTAAAAACCCATCACCACAAAAAATTAGAATCAAACTCTAACTTTTATAAGGGGGTTATTGTGTTACGTATAACATAAAGATACATTTTTATATAATTATAATTTGTATTTGTAGAGATAAAAAAAAACTTTTTATATTCTAAGACTCATTTTTTCTCTAGAAGTTTTAGTGTGCAAAGTCTTTAATTAAAACTTTCAAAATTTGAACATCATTTTGCAATATATTACACAAAATTGCATTAAAATTTGAGAACAATCTATTATTAAATAATTGTGTTTAAATTAAATATAGTATACTCTCGTAACCTTCAAGTCGAAGGGATGCTAAAAAAAAATTCGAGATAGCAAGTTTTCGAGATAACAAGTTCAGAACCAAATATGTTCTAAAAATGATCATATATATATACTAAAATATTTTAAAACGTAGAATCATGAAACATCAGAATAAGTACTAATATGTTTATATAATAAGTTGACAATAAGGCTAAATACAACAATGATAATTTAATTTTTAAAAGCAACATAAAATTAATTATGCATTAAATAAAAAAGAATTGGTTTACAGTAAACTCACATTAGTAGAGTTCATTAAAAAAACTCTATCAATCGAGGCCTGTGGAAATCGTTTTCAAAATTGCTTATCAATAAATTTTTCTATTCAAAAAGTAGCTACCAAGTCATCGCTTTTCGTGTTCAGGGAGTATTTCATGAGACGTTTTAATATGTGGGCAGCATCTCTTCTTGGGATGCAATAATGTTAAGTAGTGGTACACAGTAATTGAGTCGAAAAAATTCATATTTTACTTAGAAAAGTATTTGACATAATAAGGTTTTGAGAAGAAACTCTTTGACATAAGAATTCAAATTAACATTAAGAGGATATGTAATGCCTAGGGGGAAAGTATTTTTTAACATTACAAGGTTTTGGAGATATCGAGGGTATGCTGCAATTTTTATCAGAGCATTATATTTTTTAGTTTTTTAAAGTTAGTTAAAGATCATACATTGCAACTAATTAAAAAAGTGAATTGAATATGACGAAAATTTGAAAAATGTAGACAATGTATTAAATAACAGTTATGTACTATCTAAAAGTGACTATATAATGCGTGATAGTAAAACGGTTTTGTATTTCAAAAATTCATGTTATTAATAAAAATTAAAAGGAGACCCCTTATAATTGAATCCTTTTTAGAGATCTATACAAATGTTATTCAGTAATTTGCAAACATCTTTTTAAATTTTTGTTATATTTAATCAGGAAACTTTAGATAAATTTCCTGATATCATTAGCTACTAAACTGCAATTTTTTATTTATCTTCATAGGATACATAGATGAAAGTGATTTAGTTTAAGCAAACATATTTTGCAGAGTTATTGATTAACTAGTTTAAAATTTTAATGTTATTTTTTCAGTAATATGTGACAAAATGTTTTGCACAAACATCGATAAAAAAAACTGCAAGAAAAAAATAATGTTTTCACAAGAGCGTTTACAACTTCATAAATATAAATCAATATTTTTCTAAAATAAGTTTGAATATTAAATAAAAATACAGATGATTCGAACTTTTATTAATACAGAACAGAGTGATTAAAAATTTTATTTTGTTATTATAATTATTTGCTCTTTGTCTACACAAACATGTTATATATGAACACTTCACTGAAAGATATGAGAAGACATTTGCTCTTCACATGCAGCTATAGAACACTTCACTATACTGAACATATAATTAGTTTTCCCTAGTTTTTTTTTTTTNTTTTTTTTTTTTTTTTTTTTTTTTTTTTTTTGCACAGTGACGCAGATTTAATATTCTCTTTACATTGCTTTGTAAAATATTCAGGAGTATTTATCAATATTTGTGAAATTATCATTGTTAGAATTAACTACCAAATCAGGACAACTTTTCTGTGTCATTCAAAAACAATAAAAATGCAACAGTTGATGTCTCTGTCCAATTCTTACAAAAATTACATAGCATGAAAAAATTTCTGTAAACATTTTGAAAAAGAGCAGAAGAACCATAATTGAATGCCTCAATAAGACCAACTCCTTTAAGTAAACTCAATGATGGTAAAACAATCAGAGAAAATAGCCTTTAATGAGGTAAGAAAAATCGTGAAACCTGCAACAGTGCATCTTTTCAGCAAATAACTGGTTTTAAATATAGTATTTCAGCTACTAGAACAGTTTGCATAATAATATTTTAATTTGTAAGTATGTGATAATTTTAGAAAATCTTAATAAAATTTTAATAAAGTTTCAGAGTTATTATTAGTAGTTATAAATTTGGTTTCACTTAGCCAGTAATACCTTCAATATGAGTAGTTTGATAAACTGAATCTTAATTTATTATGATACTTATTAAGAACAAATTACAAAAAGTGAAACTTCTACCAATGATTTAATTTCCATGAAATGAAATGAGGGGAAAATATTAATTAGATAAATGAAATGCATACAAATTAAAATAAAAACAAATAGTTCTCAAAATTAAAAATTATACTTGTTGAACAAGATTTTCTCGCTCTTGAGCAGGCGTTCCTTTACTTTTTTCCTCTAACAGGAGAGCATCTCGTTTTTCTTCCACTTCTCTCAGTTTATTATATAGAGCCAGGGCTTCTTGCTTTATCTAATACAGAAAATTATATTTGAATGAAATATATGAAAGATATATTAATTATCAAATGAATAATTATAAACTATGCTATAATAAATATAGTATTTGCAGTAAGGATTTTATCTAAGTTAGCAATAATTTGTTACCATAACTATAGTTTATGAATGAAAAATAGACACAGAATACTTTATTGAGTAGTTTTAGACTGAAAAAAGGTGAAAAAGTTAAGTCTACCTTTCAAGTTAAACGCAAGAACTCTCTTCAAAATTTAAAGTTATATTTTGTTGCAGGTTTAGAAAAGCAATTACAGCATATGGTTTTAGTGTTCTTCCATTGTAACACGTATTTCCATTACAGCTTGTAATTTTGTCTTGCTTTAAAATCAAAACTATGTTATAAATGTAGAAAAGTATAAAAATTAAAACACATCAGACAAATATTTGATTTTTCTTATTATTTGCAAAATATAATTTGACGATAGAAAAATAAGTGTATTGTTATGAAGTTTTACTGGTATGATGATCACAAAATATTTCTGTCAGTATGAAGATATTTTTTAAGCTAAAATAGGGAAATGTTGGACCAAAAGCAGGGAAATTTGAATTTGGAAGTGTCACAACTTTTACATTTCGACAAGTCGGTGTAAACACTTTTTCTAAGTACACAACTTTTTCATTAAATAACAAGGAAGCAAAAAAAAAACAGCAATTAAAGGGGTAGCTTCAGGCACTGCAAGTACTTAGTTGGTTAAAATGCATGTAATATTAGGTTTAAAAAATATTTTTGACTTGATTGATGAAATACTATTTATTTGCAAAAGTCCTACTTTAGAGCTTTACAGCTTTTTCCACACTTAATTATTTTACAATAGAAAAATACGGTGCAAAAAATAACTTTTTCTTAGCCATGGCATTACTTATATTTTAATTTTTATTATGAATCAGAAGAAAAATAATTTAAAAAAAAGAGGTTTTTACTTTTCACAGAACAATCAGTATATTTTAGTAGCTATTTAGTACTATAAAGCAAAGAGTTGTAAAATATATTTTTGTCAAAAATTCTTTATAACATAATTGTCTTTTTACTAAAATAAATTATTCTACAATATCAGCTAATATGATAAGATTTCACACCTGTGATAAGGAAAGTTCTTCTTCAAGAGACATTTTTTGAGAAATCAGAAGATCTAAGTCCTGTTGAAGCTTTTCAAGAGATCTTTGAAGATCATTATCAGTTTTTTTCAACTCATTGTACCTTATAGGAAGGAAAATATGTTATTTTTGGTAAAGTACAAATCGTATTTACAATGCAGAAAATTATACTTTAAATTGTTCAACAGAAATATAATAAATCTTTCACTTAAAGTCTCTAAATTAGACAATAATGTTATTGATTTTATGCAATAATGTGATTAATTTATGTGCAATAATGATTAATCACACTTGAAGAACTACATTCTCATTTTAAAATAGATTTATGAGAGTCAAATATTTATAAGGAACAAGTAGAAAGTAGCATTCAGTTAAAGTATGCTTAGTTCAGTATATGTAAGCTGTTAATTCCATTTTAAAATTTCTTACTTCTTTATTTAATTATTTCGAAATTAAAAATATTATATTTTATTGAAGTTCTGACAAAAAGTAGTGTGATTTAAAAAATTAAAGATAAAACAAATTCTTAAAAAAAATCTACGTTAAAATTCTTATTTGAAACGTGCACTAACTAAGTAAAAATAAAGATTGTAGGAAATAGAAAGGATTCGATAAATGAATTTTGAGAATGAAAGCTGGAATTATGATTTGCTGCTGCAGGATCCATATTCCATAAGCAATTTTTCATTTAAGTGTTATCGGGAAAAAGAATCAGTGAAATAGATTTGATTTTCAACAATTTTGTTTCTTCTCCTTTATCATTCTGCTATTAAAAACAACACTATAAAAAGTGATATACTATATTAAGCTGAAAACAGACAGCTTTTTAAAATTCAGAATTCTGAGAGATATGCAACATTTGATATGAGTTTTTTAAGATAGAAAATACCCTCCACACACCACCTGTATTTTACCCAGAACAAATTGGAAAATCTAATCTCCTGAGGAATTTGTGATCAGTTTAAAATGTTGGAAGGTAGATCAGCATTTTGTTTGTGGTCAAGAACATGTCCCAACTGACAAATGGCTCTCAAAACCGTAAAATGTAAAGAGCTTGTCACATGTGGACTAGGTGTTAAAAGTTCTAATAACTAGCTGCATTAGAATGAAGGAAAATCAATACCCCATAGTAGTTACATCAGATATTGATTTACTCTAATATGTTGAAATGACTCCCAGGCTGATCATAAGACACAGTTTTCAATAGATCACTAAAGTTAAGCATCACTGGCTGCAATCAGTGAGTGGATGACCACTTTGATCAGTCTGTGAAGGGGCCGAGGTGTGCAGTATCAGACCTTGTTACACTGTTCCCTACCGTAAAGTGCTTGACTTTGTGTGCAGATTGTCAGACTACAAAAGCAAGGAAGCCATCTGTTGAAAATCAAATTTGTGATGGATTATCTGAGGCTCATCTTCAGGGATGTCTTCCAGACCATTGTCAATAGCCAGCATACAGCTATAGTGCAACATAAATAATGTACTACAATTAGGACAACTTTCTCATAACACAGTTTGTTTGTGCAATCACAAATAAGGATAGGGTGTTTTAACATGAAAAACACATGTTGAATTACAAATTACAAGAACTAACATGCAAGTAATCCAGAAATAAATACTTTATGTAAATAAAAATTGGCCCTAATGATTAACAAAAATTTGACATTAAGTGCAAAGAAAAAAATATATATAGAAATATTTTGAATTATATCCCATTGAAGTTGCATATCCAGTTATCCACGAATTCTAGGTGAAATAGAGAGTGTACTGAATTGGAAAAAAACACATAAAATTCTTACTCTTTCCTTAATTCTGGCGACATGGTAGATGTCAAATTTTCGGCTACATAACGTTCTTGGGTAATTTCAGATTCTAACTGCGCTAACTGAGCTTCCCTTTCCTGTCGCTGCTCAAATAAGCTATCAATTGCTTGGGCTTCAGTTTCATTTTGCATCTATGTTTAATAAAGTTAGACTTAATAAATTTCTATACATAAATAGAAATAAGCTGCAACTTGAAAAATACACAAATAAATTAAGTTTGAGTAACAGAGACTATGGCTGAGCTTATTAATATAAGCTCAAGCATAATTGTAAGCTCTTTTAAACTAAGAAAAAAATATTTTTTCGATTTTTTTTTTTTTTAAATAAAGTTTTGAAATTTATATATATTGGGTATAATGTTTTAGCTTGATACTTGAAAAACACTGATTTTGAAAGTTACCTTATTTATAAAGTTTTGCCTTAGTTATAGTTGCCTAGTTCTAATACTTAGTATTATGTAGCATGGTCAGATTTTCCTTTACTGTAATTCTAAAATTATCCAGTTGTAGCAATTCAAACTTCAGCTAGATACCCTGATCGTAAAGAATCAAAACATAACTAAAAATCTCTAAACACTGAGCTATTTAATTATTACCCATATTATTCGATTTTCAAAACTTTATATAAGTACAAATATTTATAAAATTAAAAAAAATTTTAATGTATAATACATTTCTATCACTTTAATATCTTTATTCCACTGTGCTTAAAGTCTTAAAACACAATATTATTTCAAACTTTAATCTTCAATAAGCAAAACATAAATTATGCATTTTCTGATTAATTATTATTATTTATTTGAAATATAGTTTCGTATGCTCTGAACTGAAAATAGTAAATATCTGTTTTAACCTTTCTAATGTTTAACATTAAAAAAAATTGCATTTACATGAAAATTTTCTCTCGTATGCCTTTATTTACGATTAATTTTATTTAAAACTTCAATAAATATTGCAAGGAAGTATACACATCACTGTTCATGCTCACTAGTATTATAAACAACAAAGATTTAATTTATCATAAATAAAATACTTCAGAACTTTTACATCTTAAAAAGATTGCTCTGAAATAGTATTATATATCACTGTTCATGCTTACTATTATCAACAAATATCTAAATCATCATATTAGCACAATAAGTCACAATTTATATATTTATTTTACGTTTTCAAAACATTCCTCAAAAAAAGGTTTCTTGTTAAAGACAAAATAAAGATATATTAATTTGCGAATTTATAAATATTAATAGAAAAAATAAGAAATACTTTTAACTCCTTATATTCTTGTTGAACATCAGCCATTTCCGCATCTGTATTCAGTTTATCTACTAACAAATTATAATCCGCTAACTGTCCTTGAAAACTTTTTAGCTCAAGTGCCTGACCTTCAGCTCTTTTCTCATATGTTAAATATGTAGATTGTTCTTTGGTCAGCAGATCAAGCTCTTTATTTAATCGATTGATTTCTGTACTTAGTTCATTAACTTTGCTGCGAAGTAAACCCATGAAATAAGATTTGTCTTGAACCTGCCTACGAAGAGTACGAACTCCTGTTCGAGGTGTTACGAGACCTTGCTGAGACATGGGGCGATCAACAACATTAATGTGAGATAGCACACCAACACCATGAGCAAAGCCACTGCGTGTACCAGGACGATTATTTGAAGCAGTGATAAGTCTACTGGCAGTCCCAGGTATACCAGAACGGCTAGGTAAAGTAAGATTGCTTGAGTTCCTCATTGAAGACATTGGTCTCAAACCAGAGCCTGGCCGATTACCAGCAGATGTTGGTGGGCGCCCGTCCATTGTAATTTTTTTTTTTTTTAAATAAGATTTGCAAAATTCATTTAATCCATAAAAATGATGCCTTCAGAATAATAAGATTAAAATATTTTAAAGAACATAAAAACTAAATATTTTAAAACCAAATCAATATAACTCGATTGCGAAACCTAAACAGTATAGATGCAAACGAAAATTTTTAATAGTTCACTCGTAGTGCTTAGATTTAATTAAATAAAATGACTAGATGATAACAATAACTAAATTTAGTAATAACTACATTTTATAATATTTAAATAATAGTTTTAATTTTTGAAAATCAAAGCTTTCGTGAAAGTAAATATTGATGTTAACATCAATCAACCATTTCTAGCTGAGAAATGTTTACATGATACTGTTTCTATGACAACAAAGAAATAAAAAAATAAAAAATTCGTTGCGGTCAGAGTTAGTTCGTTCTCTTGACTGAAGATAAAAAAATTCATTTTTATTTTTTTACTAATTTTTATCAAATGAAAAGTTTTCCTCGTACATTCGAAACTCGTTAGTTAATAATTGCATTTTGTTTGAAGCAATTTAATAAAAACAATGTAAACTTCAACGATTTACACCTTTTGCGTTTTTTCGGTTTTTGCAGAATTCTTCGTTTAAATCTATCAATTCGTGACGTAGTTCGTAGTAATCGTAACCAAATCGATCTTAGTTGGTGCATAACCCTTCTTCTGTTTGTTTATTTGTATATTTTCTATCAATAAAATGTATTTCAGCTTCTATTTTGAAAAATAAAATGCGCAAGCAGAATATTATGATAAATTATTTCTCAAAAAGGATTTTTAACTCCAAAATATAGAGTGAAAAGCATGGGGAATTTCATCTCTAAAGAAATGTAATAATTTCTTAGTAAAAAATTTTGATATTTTTAAATGTATCTCATATGATCTTAAATACGATATTTTCTTCTAAAAAATTTGTCTCAAATCATGCATTTTAAAGATTCGGAATCTGCTATCTGCAACTGTTTTTGAAAAAACATCCAAATAAGCTGCATTAAATTTTCTAGGTAAAGGTCCTAGTAATTATCTTGATATCTGCAAAAAAAATTTATTGAAAAGAAGAGTAAGGAAAACAAATTTATTTTTTTTAAGTAATGCAGTCAAAAGATTCAGAATCCCCTTTGCATAACTGTTCTGAAATAAGCTCTGAGCCTTTTTCCAGTGAAACCCTCATTTTTCCAAGTGCAGACCCTAGTTCTTCTCGTGAGGATTGTGAAAAACATTTATACTCTGGCTTAATGCAATCTGAAGAATTGGAATCTCCTATGAATGAGAATGACTGTTTTGAAGAAAATTCTGAATCAGCTGAATCGAATTCACCAGATTCGCCTAGTAAAAATAATAATTCTTCACTTGATTCTAACCGAGGTTTTGGTAGCAAAGAAAATTGTGAAAAAGGTGTATATCCAGGTTTAATCATGCAGTTAGAAGAATCAGAATCTACTATGAATGAGAATGACGTTCCGGAAGAAAATTCTGAATCAGCCGAATCAAAATCGCCAAATAAAGATCCTATTTCTTGTAAAGATTCTAGTTCTTGTCTTGATTGTTACAAAGGTTTTGATAGTAAAGAGGATTACGAAAAGCATTTATATTCTGGTCTTTGTTTAGCTCATTTATCAAAACCTCCAAATAACAAGTCAAAAATCATTTGCCATATATGCCAAGAAAAATTCAACACCGCAAGGGAGTTAGATAAACATTTGACTGTTAAGAAATGCTATAAACGGGATTCAGAAACTGCTCCTGTAGTTGCCGATGACCCTCGTGTTTGCTATCTGTGTGGTGAAGGTTTTAGTGATATAAGCAACTTAGAATTACATCTAAAGAAACATGCTGATGGTCCCATTTTTCCTTGTGAGGAATGTGGAAGAATATTTACTAAAAAAGACTATCTAAAATCTCATTCAGCTATTCATAATGTTGAGAAGAACTTTGTTTGTGATAAATGTAACAAATGCTTCTCTCAAAATCGCTATCTTAGGAGACATTATCGTCTTCACACGAAGGAGAAATTATTTTCTTGCAATTTATGTGGCAAGACTTATATTGAAAAGAGAAATTTTGTTGCCCATTATAGAATTCATACTAACGATCGCCCTTTTACGTGTGAAACGTGTGGTAGATGTTTTAATAATAAAGTCAGTTTAACAACACATTATCTGACACACATGGATGAAAAGCCACATGTATGTGTAGTGTGTGATAAGCGATATTTGTATAAAAGTTCCTTAAGATCTCATTATTTAACTCATACAAGGGAAAAACCACATGCTTGTGATATTTGTAACAGAAAGTTTAGTGAAAAAAATAATTTGCGTAGACATTATTTGCTTCATACCAATGTGAAACCACATGTTTGTAATATATGTGACAAAAGTTTTACTCATTCTAATAGCTTGAAATCTCATTATAATACACATTTTGGTTCTGTGCCAAATGAATATTCCATTGAATATCAAGAATAAGAACTTCATTTTAATGTATAATAAAATATTTGTTTGATGTATTAACTTAAAATTACAATAATTCTGTTCTTAATTTTTACAGAAAACATAAATAAATATTTATGAAATGGATTTATTACATCAAATGCTATTTTCAGTGTCTGGTGTAATAAATCCATAATTTTTTTAAGATTATTGTTCTGAAGTGATTGCTTGTTACAGAACAATTTCAATTTAGAGTAATAGTCTAATTTCTCGTTTGTTTGGAGCGATTCATTTTGAGAAATTTAATGTTCCAAATTTTGAAAATAGTTCTTAAAGTAATTTATGGAAGAAGTTAAGCAAAGATGACCATAAAAATTAAAATTCAGATTGTAATAAGATTTCTAGATTATTTCCAACCATTTATTTTTATGCTAAAGTTTTAAAAACAAACCATGTATTCTTATTGTAATGCTTACAATGTGCTATTTATCATTTCATTTGTAAATCCATTTAACTTTAGCTGAAGACATAAAAAAAACTGAAGATAACACTCAATATGTGATAACCCTTATCACATATTAATTATTATCAGATATATCTTATTATCGGAATATTAATTTCCATTTATGTAAGGATTTTACTTTTCTTGAAATGTTTTCTTGAATAATGACCTTTTATTGTTTATGAAATAAAATATAAAAATATAAATAAATCTTATGAATAAAGTTACATGCCAGTTTAAATACAAATCTCAATTATAAAACTTCCCAGAATATCAAGCATTGTTTAGTAAAAAAAACTTAAAATAAGCTGAGAGTTACACCAGAAGATTTCAGTATTCCATCCAGGTTTTAGAATCATCTTTTTTTTAATACTCTGTTATCCATTAACGTTGAATTTGAAGCAATAATCAAGGCACAATGTTAATGTAACATAATTCAATTTTTATAATTTTATGAAATTCATTGAAACAGTTTACATTAAATATTTTTATTGAAGACTTTTTGCAAAGTTTAATTAAAAAAAATGTGAACAGTTTTTGCTAAACCTCTCATTTTAAATGTGACTGGGACAATTTATTGAAAATATAATTATTTGAAAAATTCCCATCTAGCCTTGTAGAAAGAAAATAAAAAACTTCTTTTTTTTTATTATAAATTTAAACCAGGGTACTATGTTGCTTAATGCATCTAAAAGATAATATTGTTTCAGATAGCTTAGTATAAGATTTAATCTAAGTATTTATTACTATGAGTAATCTTAGCTAAACTGCAGAAACTGAAATTATTAGGGTTGAAATTTTTTTTTGAACATTTATGATATTGTTATAGTAGCTTCATGAAATTAAATCATTCCAGTTTTCTTCTTATTTCAAAATAACTGTTACTACAATTGCAGCAAGGAACACTAGTTTTTAATAATCTAGTTTCTTATATAGTATCTAGAATTCTCTGAAACTGAATCTTGATATTTAAAATCCTTGCATTTTTACAATATGAAATGTAGAACTATGGAACATATTATTAAAACTTTTTTTTTTTTTAGTTGAACATGGTGTAATAACATTTCAGGATGCTATGAAATATTACCAAATTATGATTGTTCTAGTGATGCTTAATTAATTTTGGTCATAGATATTTAATTCACTAATATAGGTACTGTAGAAAAAGATTTCACAGCCCTCTGAAACGCAATAGTATTCTAAAAGTTTTTAAATTTTTACTTTAGTCTTAGATTTTTTTGAACAACTTATGAGACTCAATTATTTTTTTAAATTGTTAAAAATAATATCTTCTGGAATGTAATAGCCAGTTGTGGTGCCTGAAAATATCAAAGGGGATTTTTAAAATTTTATTTTAACCCTGTTGGGGCATCTATGATATTTGAGTTTATTGTTTATGTCTTTAAAAAGTACCATTTTATTGTATAGATGTACACTTTATTTTATTTAAATTTGACTATAGAAATAGCTAAATTAATAATATATTTTAAGTTGTATTCATGATTTACTGGTATTTCAAATCATAACTGAGTTGACTTTTTTTGTAACTGATTTGAATTTATGTGACATATTACTCAAGTATTAGAAATTACATTCTTCAATGCAATTTTCCTGTTTCATATCCATTTTGAAATTAGTTTTTAAAACGTAACTCAGACAGAGACAAACAGATCATATTCTTCATTTTTGATGAAGTAAAGTACTTTCTACATATTTCATAACCACTGAATATTAGTGTTAAAATTTTATTTAATATCAATCCATTTTAATTTTCAACAAAATGAAAATATTTTTCATATAATCAGAAGTATATGTTGATAGATAATGATTTCATATTTTTAGAATCAAAATATAATACTAATCTCCAAATCAAATTATGATTCAGCAGAATTCTCCCTAAGAATAAAAAAGAGCAGGGCACTTCTCTGAAAAGGACACTTAGAGTTTTGAGAGGAGACTAACTTAACATCGTAAATATTTATAAAAATGTGTAATATTATGTAATAACTGAATTTTATCCTCAACAACTTTTAAATTACCCTCTCATACTATCTTATGAGTATATTTCAAAAAGTAATTCTCTCTCATTATTAAAATATTAGAAAATTTCGTAGTTAATTAAAATAATTAAAGGCATGCCAAAAGGCAATCTCTGTGCATATTTTTTTTTCTTCAAAAAAAAATAAGCTAACAAAAATGATTAACTGATAAACAGCTTGAAAGCTTTTTTCGATAATTTAAACTAAAAATTATCAGAAAATAAACTTTTAAAGGTGCATTAAAAAAAAGATATTTATTTAAAAAATAATTTTAAAATGGTTTTAAAATTTAAAATCACTTCAAAAATTTATTAATATTTTCTTACCCTCTCACCCAAAAAAATACTTATAAAACTTTAACCAGTTGAAAATAATCCAAACAAAGTAAATGTTTGTAATAGTAATCTGAATTTAACTTATAAAGACATAATTTTTCCAATGTGTAATTATTATTTAAACAGTGAATTAAATTTTTTTTAAAAATGTAATCTGAATAAAAAAGACAGTTTTTTTGAGGAATGTTGGCTTATTTTTTCAAAAAAGGCTTGGGAGAACACTGGATTCAGTTTGGAAGCTTAACTCTCACTTGTAGTTTTGATTGACTTTCGCTAGGATGTTTTGTATTTATGTATTATTTACATAAGAATTGACTTTAGGCATCAGTTTTTGTAAAATATTTAAGTTTTTGATAGAAGTTATAAGTGTATAGCTGTGATAATTTAACTAGAGACATTATTGTTTTATTTATTTGTTTTAGAAAAGTTTATTTAGTTTTCAAATTAAATGTCCTAATTTATTTTTTAATTTTGTTGTGAAAATTATTTCTTCATTATTAAAAATTAATTGACTTCCATATTTTATAAAAAAGATGGAATTTTTTATTTTCAAATTTATTGTGCCTGTAATGTTTCATTGTTTGCTTGTACTTCTAAACAAATCAATGCTAAAATGATCAATTTTCCTCATATGGGGGTTTAGACTCAAAACACATTTGTGATATGTAGTTAGTATTGTTTTTTCAATTTATTTCTTTTGAACTGTTGAAGCTTAAAAGTAGAAAGAAATTTAAGATTTGTTTCAAAGCTTTTCTTCTTAAAACAATTATCGTAAAAGCTGTTTTAACTTTTACATTAGAGCAATCACTTAATTCAAGAATAGTTTAAAGGAAAAATGAATAAAAAAATATTTGTTTTTGGATGAAAATAAAATGAGTAAATGTCTATGTATTCCCATAGTGAGCTTCAATATTTGTTTAAGGCTGAATCAATTACTAAAATATGTTAATCAAACAATTGGCTCATTAGAATCCCTTTTTTTTACTTCTGTTCATCCTTTCTCAAATTCTTTAGTTATTTTTGCAATTTAGTGCAAATGGTTATTATCTATGACAAAATTTATTAAATTTTAAATGTTTTTTGCTGTTTAACATTGGATATATTAGTTTCAAAGCTCATAACATGATATTGGAATTATAATGAAATTTTTTAAGTTGAAATCTATGTTATTATATTTTGTAGTTATGGTTGTTTGCATTTACCTATATAGTGTGGCTGTCAGGAAAACTCTTTCAGACATCAGTCTCGCATCGTGGCGGGTACCATGGTTACGAGGAATAGTCATTTTGAATAGGTGTGTGTGGTGGATAGTTTTGTCTTGATCTTGGCATAGGTCAGCGTGAGTAAACCAATCGATGCCTTCATTCCTCTATTGCACCCCCATTAAAAATGTGCTCGTGCTTGTTACCATAGCAGCAGAAAGTCACAGACTTTTGGTCTGGAGGAGTTCTCCTCAAAGCCGTCGAATAATTGTTTTTAAGTTGAGAAGAGCTGGTATAGGAAGTATTACATTTGAATGTATGCTTAATCAGGTTTTGTTTCAGCCATGTTAATTATCCTATTTTTAAACTTCTTTGAATCATAAATAATGACTTTTTGTTTTCCTCACAACATGTGGTTGTGGCTTGAATAATAGTTTTCTTTGTCAACTATCAAAATATTTAAAGTTATCTAATAAAGACTTGTTGGTTTTACTAAAATAGATTAATTCATGTTATGTCTTTGATTTTTTTTTACTTTATTCAGCACCTTAACTCTGATCGATTGAGGATAAGAGTATAACCGAAACTTGAGTCCAGGTGACTTTCAAAATGGCTGCTGTTCTTCAGATGGCCTTTGTCAAAAAAATAATAAGTTATTTCTTTATTATTATTTTAATTTCACTCTCAAAACAATTTATGTGTTTAACACCTTAGCTGCCACAAGACACATATGTTGTGTCTCAGTGTAGTGTTTTTTTTTCTGCATTTTATCAGCTAACGAGTCTAGAAATTGTAATATGTGTTAATCCTTCAAGTGGACAAAAAATCTGCAGAATTTTCTCTGCTACTCTGTATGTTTTTTCTTTTTAAGTATGGGGAAAATCTGTTTTTTATTGCATCAAAGCATGCAACGATATAAAGTGCTACTCCATTTATTAATCTTCAATAGAAAGGTGGATAATTTATTCCTTACTAATTTTACTGATAGTTTTTGAACATTCCTACAGGTTAAAGGCACACAATATATTTAACTGATCCACGTGGTTTTGTAAATCGTCATTTACTATGCATCTATTAATTATTTTAACTTGAAAGCTGAGGCTTGGGTCTTGAAGATAATGTAATCATTGATTTTAATGTCCTTAATTAATTGCAAAACAGATTAGAAGTAGACGAGACTAACTATCAAAATTACAATTTTAAATTAAACGAATAATCAGTTATTGGAAATGAAATTATACTTCATAAAAGGAATTTCTATACTAAGATAAATAAAAAAAATTTGAGTTTTTTGTCACTCATTTGTATTACAAAATGTCTGATACAAGATATAAATACACGANAAACTAACTATCAAAATTACAATTTTAAATGAAACGAATAATCAGTTATTGGAAATGAAATTATACTTCATGAAAGGAATTTCTATATTAAGATTTTAAAAAAATTGAGTGTTTGTCACTTATTCGTATTACAGAATGTCTGATACAAGATATAAATACACGATTGTTTATCTTCAATTTGTAAATAATTTTGAGTTACTTTTTATATTAATTAGCTTTTCTTTAATTTTGTATTTTTTCTAAAGGAAAGATATAAATTATTAGTGTGTTGTAAATGAAGTTGAACAAAGTCTTTAAAATCAAGAAAAATCATGATTTCATTTTTTTTTTTTAAACTAATTTAAATCAAATAAATTTTTTTTCCAAATTAATTTATTAAATCAAAGCTGCAAAAAGTTATAAAAACATTCTATCTTCAAATTTACAAGAAGCTAACAAATTGAGATGATTAAGTGGTGAAGCATAACGTAATAAGATAAGCAAAACCATCCCATTCCCTATCTAACGGTCTGCCTTGCATGTCTCATTCCTCCCGTACTCAGGCCTTGTCCCACTATCTCGGTGGTGTTGGTAAAGAGAGCTTTTCGTTGCATGTGAAAGAAATGCGAATTCATTGATATGAACGAGGGCCTGATTGATGAGATTCCTGCAGTAAGTGTATTTTACTAATCAGGTTAAAAAACGCATGGCTAGTGAAGGTTTTGGTCCCTGAAAGTAGCGAGATTAGTCCATGACAAAAATGATCTCATTTTCTTGAGGTAATTTTCGAAAATAAAAATGATACAGATATGTTGAAGATCATTTTGAATCAATTGAAAAACACTAATAAGTTTTTCAGCCAGTGCTATTTGCATGAATCAGAGTTTCATTTATAACGCATTTGCTTAAAACTTTCTTTTTTTTTTGTGTTAGTAAAAAATTATCTTAAAAATTTATCAAGTTAGGAAACCTTTATCTTTCCAAAAAATGAATACTTTCACTTTCTCTGTTTTGTTTAATTTTTGTAAACATTTCATGGTGAATATATTGTTTTATTATTCTTAGTTTCACCATATTATTAGTCTTTTCAATTTTATGTTATGATATCTTTTGCCTTTGCTCTTCGAAATTTTTTATCCTGAGATAGGTAAAAAGTTTACTTTGTCTTTCTTTAAAATTTTCTTTTTAATGCTAAATTATTCACGTATTTTTTTCTTAATGTTCGTGTAGAATTATTTGTTAGTTTTCCTATCTATTTCCTGTGATTAATGAGGTGTATAAATATGTTACTCTTTTGACAACCACCATTATTTTTTCCAATTTATTCTTCAGAAATCTTTAAGCAATTCAAGTGTAGCAGTTCCAGTAAACTATCTATAACTTAAAAAACCTTATAATTTTAATTATATGTTTTTTTTTAATTTTCCTTTTTTTGACAAATTATTACTTTATATTGAGTTATAAATTTAATTGATCTAGTTTGTAAATTTAATTCGTTTTCGAACTGATTTGCTATGTGCCGCTTATATTTTTCCTGATTTTTTTTTCTTTCTCATCATTGAAGCCGATGTTGTGTGGGTTGTACTTGTGTTTGTGGAGTAGTGATTGGGAGTAAAGGTTTCAACTAAATATCTTCACTGTATTTTTCCCAAGTGTGATTGCCCACCATAAATTTTTAATTCGCGATCGCAACGAACTATAGTGGGCGTTGTTGTATGAGACGAATACCTGCGATTTCTATATGAACAGTCATTCCTTTACTCTGGAGACGTCTATAATGTGGCCTGTAGCATATTGTAACGATCCTTCTTTATTGTGGCTTATTGAATTTAAAAAATCTTTCTTATGCAAACGAAAACAAAATGGTCTCTCTCTCTCTCTCTCTTTGAGAAATAGTTTTACGAAATTTAATGATATAACATGAAAGGCCTATTTAAACTTTACATCCGTAGTTTTAAGAATCATATTATTTCAAACATTAAAATAAGCAAGTATACATAAGCCTCATAATTTTATATAATTTAATTTTTAATTCGAAGTTTTTTGACAACAATTTTTATCAAAAAGTTTTAATAAAAACCATTATTTCGAAACTAAAAAACTTAAAATAAAGAATGCTTACGAAACAAAACAAAAAACAATTGTAAAAATTCCTTACATTAAAATAAACAACTTACATGTTTACTTTTTTTATTTTTTAATTCATAATCGGACGTAGAAAACCATTCTATGAAAAACTATCATCAAATAAGAAAAAAAAATTATTTTCAAGTAAAATTTTTTATTTTAAAGATTATAACACTTACCTGCTTTATAAATTCGAAGAATTCTAAAATTATATGTTCTTCGATTTTTGACACAATTTTTTGGTGCTACGAATATGCGTCGTTGGGATTTGCCAAAAATAGAACAAGATGCAATTTCATTTCTTCAGAAACGAAATATTTTACCAAAAAAAAAAAAAATTACCAATTCTCATGACATGAAACTTTATTATGTAAACGTACGTTTCGGAAATATAATTTCCTTTGAAATCTTATTTATTAGAGTTCATATGGAGACAGCATCAGGTGAAATGAAATAGAGACTTTTTTGAATCTATGTTAAACTCTATATCGGTCCATTTTCCACAGAAATCCGATTAGCTACTTTAATTTTAAATAAAGTGTTTTGAATTTTGAAAGCGATTTGATTTTAAATAGTGTTTTATTTTATGATTTGTCACAAAAATTTTAGGTGTAGGTTGGCTGCACTTAAAACCCGCCAAATCTGTAGTTGCGGTGGCGTTAATACGTAAGTACCGAATTTTTATTCCATACTTTTCTGAATCATATTACTTCATTGGAATATGCAAGAAGTATACATAAACACATAATGTTATACCATTTTATTTTTCAAAAAAACTATTTTAACACCAATTTTTCTCAAAAAATTATACACTAAAACACGTAATAAAAAATTCTTAGGATAAAAAAATGATTTTAAAAATTCCTCATATTGAAATAAAAAACTTCCATATAGTTTCCTTTTTTTATTCTTATAGTTATTAATCAGACGTAAAAAACCATTCTGTAGAGGACTATCATCAAATAAGAAAAAAAAAATATTTACAAGCAAGTTTTTTATTATGAAAATCATAACACTAACCTGATTTATTAATCCGGAGAATTCCAAAATGATATGTTCTTAGTTTGAAAATTTTATTCTCAAATAATATATACATAGTTTATCCCTTCATTACTTTTAGATAACATACCACGCAGCAAAATTTTATAATTCCAAGGTCTCGATATGAATTTTAATATGTAGCTTAAAAATAGAATAGCTGAATTCTAGTTGAAATTATTCTTTCAAAACTGAAAAATACTTAACAAGAAAACGATAAAAATGTATTAATAATCAGCACAAATGATACTAGTATTTCAAGTAATTCGGGTGATTCTTTATTGTTTTTTTCCAAATTATATAGATACAGAAATATATACTATTCTATAAAGAAGAAGAATATTCTATAACTATTCATTGGAATGAAGAAAGCAATGTTGACAAAACTTTAATTTGTAATGAATTGAAGACAGAAAAAATGTATTTTACCGTAATACACACATCTGTAACAGTATGCAATCCCGAAATCGGAAGTTATCAGTTACAAGTTTGTTGATAATAGAAGTTAAAAATTATTGAGGAATTTTTCTTAAAATGTTTGGCGTGTTCTGTTTCTGAAAGATTTACCAATATTCTGGAGAGTTTTTTCAAGTTCTTCGGCCTGTTCATTAGGGAAATTTTGCTTCTTATTTGTTGTTAAGAAAATGGCGCCTGATCAAGCATTTTAATTAAAATATTTAAATTTTTCTTTCATGAAATTAATAGTTTGGCCATGTTGTCTTCGAAAATTGCAGCAAAATTTATTTTTTTGTTAATCATTCAGAATTAAATAAATGAATTTTGTTTAAAAAAAAATCCAGAAAATAAGCTTTAAAATTTGTTTCAAATGGTTTTAAATGTTACTTTATAACTAATTTGAGATTTTAAAAGAAAACCAAGATCCTTTTTATCTACAGACACAAGAGTATGCCACTGTATAAAAATTATAAATTTTACTTTGTTAAGTTTTTCTTTTATATCTTATATCAAAGAGCCATAATAAATGAAAAAAAAATCATTTATTTACTACTAACCTAACCTCACCTAATTCAAAATTTGATTAAAGTGAAATGAACTGATCCATCTTTGACATTAAAGTATGTGGCTGCAAAAAAACCATAATTCTCTTTCTAATAGTTTTCTATGCATTAAATTATGCAGCGTAAAATGTCTTGTTCAACTTTGATATTAAAGACTCAAAAACTAATCTGCACTTCAATAAAATTTTCATATCAGATTGCTTTTTAAATATTTGAAAGATTTCATGTTTTTTATCCAATATTTTTTCTGTTTTGAGAATGAAAAACATATACTGCTGAAGGTTTTTGAAACGTTTGTGGTAGCAACTTTTTTTAATGTAGAGAAAAACTATTTAATGTAAAGGAAAAACTTTGAGAGCTAGTATTAATTTAAAATTTTTATAAATCATGCATTTTGTATTTAAAATTATATAGTGTAATCATTTGTGTAATTTTATGATGCTTAACATTTAAGTCAATCTTCATAAGGATGTCTGGGCTTCAACTAAATGTTACTTTGCCACTTTAGAAATTTTTATTTTATGTATTTTTAAGTTAATTTTTCAGTAAAATCAATTTTTCTAAAAATCAATATTTTGTTAATTATTTAAAGAAAACTGTCATCGTAGTTCGTGGAAACTTTTTTGGTACATAGATTGTGTCTTTGTTTTGGTTGCCTGACCTTGATTTCCTCATTGAGCAAATACTGCAAGTGAATGTTTTATTTTTTTTTAAAAAAAAAGTTTGGTAGTTCTTTTGGTTAGTGTAAGGGTAATAATTTGATTAGTGTTGCCGATTAATAGTAATAAATTAGGGCCTTCAACTATTTTTACGTATTATAATAAAGGGATATCCAAAGAGACTCTAAAAAAATTTCTTGGTATTGGAAGTTATAAATAATATAGTATAACATAATATAGTATAACTTTTAGTATAACATAGTTGCGTTAGCGAAATTTATACTGTGATATTTTATTCAGTGTTTAATAAATTTGATTTAAATAGTTCTTTATTGATTTAAAATGTTCTTGCTCATCATTATACCTAGTGAATTTTACCATATTAACTATCTAACAAACAATAATGTGGTGCTAAAGAGATTTATGATGGCAGTTTAGAAATTAAGTATGATTGGTGTAGTTTAAGATCTACAAATAAGCATATTAATCTAGAGATCTTCAACCTTTTGCAATCCGAGGGCACAACAATAATTCAGAAAATCGCGAGGGCATGTATAAGATAAAGAAATTCAATCGCAAGAGGGGAATAAGAAGTTCATCGTAGTATTATTAAGTATTGAATATTTTCTGTTTTGGAATTTTGTCCTCGGAGCGAGTTAAACTAACAACTCTTTCAACTATAACTTGATTACGGTACATAAAATATGCCTCTGTATATGATGAATTTTAACAGTTAATTTCTAAAAAAAAAAAAAAATTTTATAAGAAATTTACATGAATATATTATGAAATGAAAATTTTCAAAAATAATTTCTTATTTTGCAGGTAAATGTCTAAAATTTTGGCATGGAAGTTTTGGATTTTAATGCCGTTCCAGCCAAAGCTCTTAGATGTTCAACTAGACTGAAATTGAGAGAATTTCTTGATCCGAGACAAGAAATTCTATTTAAAAGTGGTTTTGCTCGGGACTATCGTGGATTGGCAGATCAGATGGACTTTCAATATAATGAAGTGCGAATTTTTGAAAGATATGATAGTCCAACTCTTAAAATAATAGATGCATGGACTGTACTTCCTCATACAACCATTGGCCTGCTTATTCAATACCTGGAAAATATGGGTCGACATGATATTCTGCAAGACTTGCAACCGAAATTTGGTATTTTTTTCATACAAATATTCATGAAAATATTTTTATTTTTCTAATATTTTATCAAAAAATGTTTCTTATCATAAATAATTTTACTTTTCTCATTATAAATTAGTCTTACCAAGATTTATAAAATGTAATATTTTTTTAGATTTAGTGGTAAAAATTGTATGTTCATGAATAGTATGTTAAAGTTAATTAATAGATTGTAAAATAAATTTGTATAAATTTGAATTTGCATCTAATTGAAGTTTTTTTTCTTAATTGAATGCTTTTTTTCTTATTAATTTTTATATTTTCAGAATTAGATGCTAAATCTTATATACAGAGATGTTTGCAAGTTCAGAGTGAAGAAAGTCCACTTCAAGTAGATGAAAGTAAGCTGTGTTAAAAACAATTTACTTTGTAAAGCAGATATTTTAGAGTTTATACTTACAATAAAACAGGATAGTAGTATGTAAATTAAAATTTTGATTCTAGTACAAGTCTTACATTATCCAACCCATATTTTGTATGGAAATAGCTTCAGTTTACGAATTATTATATTTATAATATTTTGAAATATTACCAGTGCTATTTAGATAGATGATTAAAACGGTTAATAACTTTTAAAAAAAATCGGGAAAAAGTGTTTTGAAAAGTAAAACATCTTCGTTATCTGGAATTTAAATTTTTAAAAAAAATTATATTATTATGTTTAAAATAAAAGTTTTGAATGATGTTTTGTTACTTAAAGTTGTGGTTAAAAATTTTTTTTATGAATTTAGATTTTTTTGGTCTTCTAATATTTGCGAAAAAATAAATTAAAACTCATTAATTCTTGTATGTATATACATATTAAGTTTATTTTAATTTTATTGGATATAAAATTTTCTAGGTGTTAAATTTATTTTAATTTTCTTATCAATACATTTACTTTTTAGTTTCATCATGTCGTTCAGTATCATTTGATGTACGCTTGGAAGATTCTGGTATTTTCACAACAGAAGATGCATGTACTGGAGGTATATTTTTTTGTTTCTGTTTTCAAAAGAAATTCTTTTTTTCTTCCTCTTTTCATTTGAGAGGACCCTTAACATTTTTCTAATTAAAAATCTTATTTTAGTTTTCTGAATTGCAGATTTTTTAACTAAAAGGCTTTTTTTAAGCATATTTTTCTTCTTTCAAGCGTTCTTCTCCCTGGAAAAAAACTTAGCTGAAATTTATCTGCTGCACATTACATTCCTATTCAATATCATCTGATTTCATATCAACAGTAATTTAGGTAAAAATGACTGCTCAGAAAAACCTAGAACCTAAGTACAAAGGGTTAAAGATCATAGTAACCAATCATAATCAATCAAATCATAAAAACTAACCAAAAATTCATACCTGTTCTTTAAACATTTCATTTTCATTTTTTTTTCCAATACTGAAATCGAAAGAATTATATTATATGGAATAAATATATTATGAATCCATTACTTCATAGTTTGATAAGATGGTAATAAAGTTCAAAATATTATAATCTGATATGATAAGCTTAATAATAATGTAGAGAATAAAGTTTAACCCCACTTTGTGACACATTAAATTCTATTAAACACAGTTTTCTGAAAGCATATCTAATACCGCCCCCCCCCCAAAAAAAGAAAGAAGTGTAAACTTTGAAGTCAGGATATATAGTTTTTAACAAAGTCTAATAAACTGTTCACTGCTTAAAATAAATCTTTAAGAAATTTGAATTAAGTGCAAAATTAAAACTGTTTAAACTAAATGAGTTTATTGTTTTAGCCTGATATGTAAAAATTTTCAGATTACAAGATTATTTTTGAGCGTTTCCATCATGACGCACATGATATAACTTTTAATGAAAAAGTTAAATAGTTTTAGCAATTTTTATTGAAAAACTCTTGGTATCATTTAAATTTACTAAAAATTTCAGAAATTTTGTGAATTAAAAAGCTGGTTATTAGGAAAGTAATGTGATTACAATTGTCACACCTAGTTTTAGTTTTTAAATTCCTAAAAATTAATAAAAACTGCTGTATGTCTAAATAACATCAAAGAAAAAATATGAAAACAGCAGGGTTTTTTTAAACTCAGTTACATGCAAATATTACCTTAACAATGCCATTCAAATTGCCATTTTATAACTTAAGCCTAAGGAATTATCTAACTCTTAATTCAATGTTTAACTATTTAATTCAATAATGAAAATTAATAATATAAATTATGCCAAGTTTCATATCTTTTGTTGGTATACTTCATATTTTGTTCAAATGATTCTGAAATTTCCAAATCTGAGATACCTTATCTGAATTTATCCTAATAGTTTCCCAGCAACCAATGTTCTAATACAGTCTAATTCTTCTTTTTCTTCAATTAAATGATTAACTGGCAATTCCTAACACTTATTATTGTCATTCTTTTATTATTCCTGTAGCATATTCTCCAAAATATTGAAAACTCCAATCAATCTTATTTTTTAGATTTCTTTAACCTAAAATGTAATCCAAATTGATTGAAGTATGAATCTTCTTATTTCCTAACCAAATTTCCTTTTCTCAAGCAATATTTCTTGTTCACTGAAACAATTGTGAAGAAATATTAATTAACGTGGAAGTTGATTACTATCAGTTGTATTTTTGTATGTGCTTTGAAATTTATTTTTTTATTTTGTATGTACCAGTTAGAGTATTATTGTTTTTTTTAAAGGTTTATTTCTACTGCAAATTAAAAACAAAAAAGGAAAAAAAATGATTACACTGCTTACATTATTGATAAATGAAATCTTTAAATAAACTTATAGTTTTGAAAGCTCGCAAACACAAGCCCTTAGTCTTAAAAGATTTTTTTTAATAATATTTATGGCACAATCGTGATTCATTTGATTTTAAGAACAAAAAAAAATTTTTTTGATTCTCATATCTCTGTTAGAAAAGAAAGTATTAAAGTTTCCCTTAGTGTTATAAAAGTAGTTGAAGCATCAGTCTCATATTTATGATAACTTGATTATTTTTAAAACTAGCGTATTAGATTTATTGCTGTTACATGTTTCTGCAGCTTCATCCAAAAAAATATAAAAAATTGATGCAATTTAAATAGAAACCTTGTTTATTAACTATAGGAAGTTGACTCTTTTTTTAAATTTTTTGTTTTGTTTCTAACAGTAGCATTATGCACATTAGCCTTATAGCATTAATAGTACCTCTGCAGTGCTGGGGCATACAAGACTTGAGACCAAAAAAAATAACAATATGGGTTAAAATAAAAGCCTTTTAAGTTTTCTGAAATATTTTTAGTTTACTTCATAAATAGTAACAATACTTAAATGAACTGTGAATATAATGACTATAAGATAGTGAGAGATTTCCTCCTATTATTAAAAAGAACTTTTTAATTTCAATATGGTAAGTGTATACAGTGTTACAATTTATTGCCAAATTTCATAGCAATTGCTGTTTTAATTTTCTTTAATAAAATAGTGATTATAAATATACCCAAATATCTCATCACCAAATTGTTTTCGCTTCATATTATAATTTTAAACTTTTTATGGTGAGTCTCAGATAGGGACACACTTATAAATCTTACAGGGTAGCGCACCTAAGTCTACGTCAGCTACTCAATTACAACTTCATTGCGGTGTGTCGTACCACTGTTTCAGTGATATTTTTTCCAGAAATGCTTTTTATGACTTTTTATTTTTTTTTTCGTCGTTCTTTTATACTAGAAATATCGTATGATTGTGAAAGACTAGAGATAGTTACCAGAAAGCAATGGAGAGCGAGGAACGCAGTTCGGGAGAGAGAAATAAATCTTCCTGTGAACCATGTTGTCATATTACATACAGTGACAGCCTTCTGTAAGAAACAAGTAGAATGTATGCGGCAAGTTCAACTCATTCAAGATCTTCACTTGGATGAAAGAGGTAAAAAAAGTATTTAGTTCAACAATACTCAACTATTGTATTGTTATTACATAAAATCGATTTTCTCAACTTATGTCTAGCTTGTATATGCGACCAATTAGCTTTCACGTTACCCACTTTAGTGCAAGGCACCTCTGTTTTTAGTACTGTTCTCTCCTACTACAGTTCCTCAACACTACCCAGCATTATCAATATTTAATTACCGTTGAATCAGTTACTGCTGCTACACGGCAGCGCACTGAGATATTAAAAATTTCTAACGTTCTTTAGTTCAACAAAATAAAAATTAACATTGACTAATACATTTAAACTTAATAACCACCAAAACTTCCCAATTTACTGAAATTTCTCTTGCTGTTTTATTAGTACATGTTCTTAATGAGCACCGTTTCTACCCAAATAGTAATGCCATCTCGATTTGAAACATTCTGACTCACTAAGAGTGAAGAATTGTATGAAATATGAGTTTCAAACTTTTTTACCAAATAAAAAATTAACTTATAGAAACAACACAGCAAGTGTTAATTTTAAAGGATAAAAGTATAGGTATTTCAATGGGAAATATTGTTTTTTGTATTTGTTATTGGTAAGAGTTGCGAGGAAACGAGATTTCATAGGTCTAGAAATTAATAGATATTTTTAATTCCAAATAATATTTTTATTTTACTAATTCTGTTAAACTTAATAATCTTAAAACTAGTAAGAGTAGTTTATTTCAGTAAATTCCAATTTACTGAAATTTGTTTTGCTGTTTTATTAGTATATGTTCTTAGAACTTGTGCACCGTTTTTACCCAAATAGTTATATTTTAAGGTCATATATTTTTAATAAAAATTTTAGGTTGGTGGGATATTGCCTATAATTTCTTAGTTGGTGGAGATGGCAGAGTTTATGAAGGAAGAGGATGGAATTTAACGGCGGCTCATGCTGTAAATTACAACACTAATTCTTATGGGGTTGCATTCATGGGCAACTTTAACAATGACACGCCAACAAAGCCAATGATACAAGCCGCATTACAATTAGTGGATTGTGGTATAAAAAAGGTAATGCATTTTCAATTATAATTAAATATGAAAAAATAATATTCATTGTTTTAAAAAAATGTTTTATTTGTATCATGAAAGGATCCTGTTCTTTCAATAAGAAACCTGGGAACCTCTGTAAAAGAGATGTTCGAAATCTTATTGAAACTTTATTTTACTATCGCTATAATCTCTTTGAATAGCCGTGAGCCAATCGTTGTGGTGGGTAAAACCTTCGTCTACCTCGGTTGTGACGGAAGTTCAATTCCAGGTATTGAAGCTGAGTGTTTGATCGGATTGCATTTTCTTCGATCGTGCCATAAGGTGATTCACCGCATCTATTTCTCCTCCAGAAAAATGCAGCTCCTTTTACGTAAAGCATCTAAAACTAAGTATTTTAAACAACGTAATTTAATCTAAGTGAAAAGAAAAGCTTGCAAAATGTGACTATTAAATAAAAAGAACCTATCGATATCGGTCACTGACTCATTATTCTTGAGGAAAAAGTGACAGTGAAGTTATTAAAGTAAACCGTCCGGTGGCTACTAATTGAAAATTTAAATTTTCAGCTTTAGTGAAAAGTAAAAAAAAATTGCAGCTATTTTACTCAATATTAATAATAATAAAAAAAAAACTAATGAAGGGACATTTCCTCCTTTTTTCAAGAAGAGTAAATTATTTGTGATTACCATTATTAATTAACAGTTATATTTACTTTCAAAAGATTTTATGTGTGTTCATTAAAACTCGAGTGACGGTACTCCGGAATAGTTTACTGGCGAATAAGAAGTAAAAAAGCATTTTTATGTCATATTATCATTTTGTTTTATTGGTATTGTTGTAGTAGTATTTTAATGAGAAGTAAAAATTTTAAAATTTGGCGTGGTAATCATTTTATGAGTAAAATCATCATTCAAGTGCAAATACTTAACATACATTATATCATTACTTGGATTATTAGGATGTGTTTTAGAAAATCGAATATTTCTTTTTAGGGTTACCTAACACCCACTCCGGAAATCCATGGTCATAGAGATGTCGCTTGTACAGATTCTCCGGGAGAAAAGCTTTACAAAGTTATCAGGCAATGGAAAAATTACAAGGGGGGCGAAAGTCTACGTTTTACTGTGAACCCCTCTATAAACCGGTGATCGGTCAAGATTTGATAAAGGACAATTCATAACTGTTCCTTTCTGAATGTGCCAGGGGAAAAAAAAAGGTTATCCTGAAAGTTTACTGGCCTCAAGCATTGAAGTGTAATTTTTCACTGTTGTAATATCATTTTACAAATTGCAATGTTTTGTAGTATATAATGTCTTTATACATGTAGTTGACAATAAAATATTTTTGATTTATAACTTTAACTTCTCTGTCACTCTGTTGCATATTGACACGTATGGCAGATGTCAAACCCAAACTAAATGAAAATAAAAAAATTTTAACTTCGTCAAGTATTTAATATGTATTTAATACTACAAGTTTGTATGTAATAAGTATGTATGTTTTTAATACTCAAGTATTTAATACTACAAGTTTCACTTTTTATTTTTTTTCCCTAAGTCTTTTTCCCATTGTAGTTACAACCAAAGTATATTTTAGGTTCTTGAAACATTTCTTTTTATGTAACTAACAATAAAAAAATTCCTCCAATATTGAACTTATTTCTTCGACTCGGTGCCTTGGGCCACCATCTTGAAATCTAGATTTCATAATGGAAATCTTTGTAGAATGCAAATGAAGTCACATGTTCGATACACATGTCTAATTCTCTTAACTTCGAATGCAAAATATTGATTATGCATAGTGTCGTTCAGACCACCACAACACACTTCGAAATGTGAACACAGCTTATTTTCTTCAACATTTAAAAAGAAACAAACATATATATATANCGGGACCATATTTCTTAGATAGCGACTGCCCCCGATATTTTGGGTGAATCCATCTGATACCTTTCCCAGAGCAAATCCATTTATCAAAAAAAAGAATGTTTATTGAAAGAAAGTACGTCATTCTACTATTTTGTGTCTGATCTCATGACTAAAAACATCCTCTACACAAATTAAAAATTAATTAGCCAACTCAATGTCATCCCCGTGTATATATATATATATATATATATATATATACCCACTTAAAAAGTTGGTTTTCGAGGAGTAGTATCAGGAATTCCCCAAAAATGACGACAATCGAAACATAAAAATTTTATTACTTAATGAAAACAAACATCTTTTCCGAACGAAATATGCCGATTTTTCTGATGCTCTCCAACTTTCGACACTTTTTCTCAGCATCACGTAGTTAGCGATTTCGAGATCCCATTCACTTTTAGCAATATTTCATACGCATTACGAAAGCCAGACGGGAAACAACTTCGTTTTCATTTACTACAACAACCTCTGTTTCAATGATTTCTCCTTGGGTAATGAAATTCCTGACGTCATTTATTGCTTTTCTTTGTGTCTTTCAATTCCCATATCAACATTGCAGGATAACAGCACGTTCAACTCGTTCATTTCGTCTACGCCTTCATTTTTGTCTTCGATCATGGAAGAATAATCTAGTAAATATATGCTCTCTGCTTCCAATAAGTGCTTCGTAAAATGTATCTTTGTTTATGATTATTTTATTGATTGTTACAATGATGTCAGAAATTCATTCCCTCATTTAGAAAACTATTATTTTAAACCAATGTTCTTTCAGGCATTACGTAAGCATGTTTTTGATGATTTTGGACACCCCTCCCTTTATTAGTTAGAAAAAGAGAATCGTAAACTCTTATTTTTCAGATGCAGTTTTTAAGAGAGTTTCAAAGACAAAAAGAATTTTAGAGTTTGTGTTAGCATCGAACTTATACTTCTCCCCCCTACCAGCAAAAGGAATATAATTTTTTATCTGAATGTCGTCTACTGTTTTATTTAATTATTTACAGAACTTCAATGTCTAAATATTTAATAAATAGTAATCACGATACAATTAATGTTTTGATAGTTTACATTCAGAGAGTTTTTAAAATTATCAGGTATGTGTAAAATAGTACGAAATTGAACTTCTGTAACGTCATATTTTGCTATACTCTATAAAATTAATTTGTTTAGTGTGACCCGATAATTGAAATAAATAAATTATATAAATCATTTTCAATCTGTAACCCATTACATTTAACTATATAAAGTGGGTCTATATATTAAAATTACGCATGTAAGAAATATAGTGGAACATAATGCTTTCTGGAATCTACCGCTTTAGTTTTATAAATTCTCTATGTAGGACTTCTGACCTGAATATAAATATTTATATTATTAATATACTATGGTAGGCAGAGGTATCTTGTTTCTACAAAATACAATTGATTAAATGCTAAATTCAAATAAATTCACAAAAAAATTGCCCTTTTTTTAAAGATTAAAAAATGAGTGTTTTTATGAATGACATTAATTATAAATTAGTATTTTTATGAATTAATTTATATATTATTATTTTATTGATAAGTTCATTGCTTACCATTTGCACTGAACAAAGACTGATGTAAACATTAAATAAAATTTACTAAACAAAGGATTATACATTAAAACATAAAATTTGCTTGAATTTTTTCTTCTTTCCAAAAACCGCCGAATGTTGCAGCTCTGCTTTACGCTACTGCTGTAACGTAAATGTAATAAATTAACTAGGCTTATTGGAAAAATGTAATAGTTGTAGTTGTCGCTAGAAAGATTTTCCTATATTTTTAGATACCACTTTACGTTTAAGTTCCCGTATTGCATAGTTTAAACACTCTACGTCATAGAAGTATTATTCACTAACAATCTCTATTATATTTTATTGCTTTAAGTGTAAATTTCAATTAATCCTTCTACTTATAAAGTGAAAAAAAAAGAAATTTTCAAAGACATGTTTGTTTTGAATTTTTAAATTATATTTATTAAATATTTATCAATCAGCCTTCGAGTTATAGAACACGCTGCCATATTTTTCGGGAGGAAAATTTTGTAAATCTTTCTCCTATATCTTTTCTTTTATTTCAGATTGCCATTTTCGTCCTTTTTTTAAAAAAAATATAGATTAAATAAATACTATTTTTTTCAATTTTGTAAGTCTTTTAAAATATATATCACTTACATTACATTTATGTCACTCCATATCATATTACTTGAAAAAAAATTATACTGTTTTTAAAAGGATTCATAAAGTGTTCTCCATTTATATTTATTTCTTATAATTAGAGTAAAATGTTAACAAAATAATATTAAGGTTATAATATGTAGTTTATAACCAATCATTACAACAGTTTAGTAACTCGAACAAAAANATTGTTATACTGTTTTTAAAAGGTTTCATAAAGTGTTCTCCATTTATATTTATTTCTTATAATTAGAGTAAAATGTTAACAAAATAATATTAAGGCTACAATATGTAGTTTATAACCAATCATTGCAACAGTTTAGTAACTCGAACAAAAAGTTATCAAGATAGTGACAATCACAAAAAAAGAACAATAAGCATCTTATATACTGAAAAATTAGAGCCTGTTTAGTTATGAAGCATTAGGCATTCTTATAATGTATTTTCATAAACATGCAAAAAGCCATCTTCTCCTGAAATATTCCAATAATTTATATTTCTTCTTTTCCTTTCCTCTTCTCCCTCCTAAAAGCAACATTTAAATCTGATTAATTTTGATTAGTTTTAAAAAGTTTTCTTATTAAAAAAACCTGTTCTGCTGGTTGGTCTAAATTCATGTAGTTCGAATATGGAGTTCGTATTTCTGGGAAATCGAATTTTTAAAAAGTCGGATATTTAAATTTGATTTCTCATTAACTGTTCGATTAATTTTGCTGAAATATTGTATTTTACCAAGTTAAATTACCTTCTTTTAAAACGATGTAAAAAATTTATGCCTTACAATTCAAAATTTTTTACGATTATTATTAAAAAAAATAATAAATATTTACTAAAAGTTATTTTTGAACAATTTACACAATTATAAACGACCTTTATAATTGTGAGAAGAAAACATTTCTATTTGCTTGAAAAGCTCTCGTCGTACTTTCTCAGATTGCGACTACCTCTTATATTTTGGGGTTCAGAAATCCAAATCCGTCGAAAAGTTCAGAGAAAGTAAGTTTTAGTATCTGATTTGGTAACTTAAAATATAGTCCTTGCACCTATTAATTATCATTTTTTAAATCAAGCCCAGATGAGAAGAAAGTGAAGATCTGATCATCAGATCAAAAGTTAACAGAGTAGTCCGTTTATTTATTTATTTTTTTTCCCCTTTTTTTTTGCGCACTGAACGTCTGAAAATTTATAATTCAAATCTGTTTAATATTTTGCTTTATCTTAAATTTGTTCCATTTGTGAAGAGAATTTTTCATAATTTGTTATTTTATTAAATATACCAGAATTGTATTCTGGTCTATTTCTTTATTTTTTGCCTTTTATTTTTACTGTTAGCAAATGAATTATTTTTTGATATTCTTAAACTAAAACGTCAACTTCCTCTAGTTTATTTCTCATTAAATAATGTATTATTGTCGCTATTAATTCTAGTGTTTTGTATGTAAATATGTGTATATTTTTTCTCATTATCTGTTATTATATAATGTTTGTAAAACTTAATTATATGAGGGGCATCGTTTTTTTAAATTGAGCAGTAAAAAAACTTACCGAAATATATCATTTGATTGTAGCTATTTTATTTGAAATTATCATAACAAATCGTAATTATTAACATTGTGATCTTTAATGAATTTATTATATCGCGATGGTTTTATTGTTTTGATCTTAGTAAAGCGTGATTATTTTTAAAAAAAACTAATTTCCTTCAGTTTTAAAGTTGGGTGATCTGTTGAAAATGTTGGGTAATCATCCGGTATGTTATAGTTCTTCTTTAACTCAGAGCTACATTTGTTGTGTGTGCGTATTTTTCCTTCCAAATTATATTTCTAAAACTTTAAAATATAATTGTTCTTAATTAAACAAATTGTTAGAATTTTTATTGACATTAGAAAAAAACGCAATAGAACTTTCTATAAATGTGATAAAACAGGTCTTTTTATTTTTAACCAGTCATGATTTCGAATACACGTGAATGCATAGTGATTAAAAAGAGATTACTAAATTGTTAAATAAATATATTTGTTTATTTATCAATCTATTTTTTTTTAAATACAATGCAATCTTTTTTGCAATATTACCAAAATAATTAAATACTTTAAACTATGCTTTTATTTCGTACTGCATTTAAAAAAAGAAAGAGAATATTAATATTTTCGGAAAGGCGTCAGTAAGAGCTTCTTTCCATAGATACACCTCTGCTCAAATGAAAGTGAAATCAAAACATTTCCCATTTTTATCAGCA